TTGTTTTACTGTCTGCTGTGCTTGTTTGTTTCTATTGTACAGCACTTTGGTTGGTCTTGTTGCTGTTTTAAGTGCTCTATAAATAAATTGGTATGGTATGGTAATACATGCTTACCATACCATTTTATTTATAGAGCACTTAAAACAGCTACAAGGCTAACCAAAGTGCTGTACAGACAGAAAAACAGGCAACACACAAAATAATATACAAAATGAGGTAAATCAGAATATAAACATAAAAACGATGCAGATAATAAATATGACGACTAACCAGTGTGGAGCGTACAGGTTCAAAACACAAATCATCTGGTGTTGAAAGCTACTGAATAGTAGTGGGTTTTTAAATGGGACTTGAAAACTGAGACGGAGGGGGCCTGTCAGACAAGCAGAGGTAACTCGTTCCAGAGTCTTGGTCCTGCAACAGAGAAGGCCCTGTCACCTCTGCACTTAAGACGAGTTCCTGGAACTGTGAGGAGCAACTGGTCCGCTGACCTCAGGGAACGTGGTGGGACATACGGCTGTAGCAGATCAAAGAGATGGGGGGTGCGAAACTGTTCAGCGATTTGTAGACATACATGAGTATCTTGAACTGGATTCGAAGGTGAACCGGTAGCCAGTGCAGTGAGGCCAAAACTGGTGTAATGTGCTCTCTTTTGCCTGTACTGGTTAAAAATTGGGCTGCTGCATTCTGGACCAGTTGTAGTCGTGCAATGTAGGTCTGACTGATACCAAACAGGAGTGAATTGCAGTAATCAAGCCTAGATGTAATGAATGCATGTATTACTGTCTCCAGGTTGTTTTTGGACAATATGGGCTTCAGTTTAGACAGCCGCCTCAGTTGGAAGAAACATGATTTAACAATCATGTTTACATGATTTTTAAGTCTCAGGGAAGGGTCCATTATCACGCCCAGATTAGTGACTCTTTGTTTTTCTGACAGGGTTAGAGCGGAAAGGCCGATGCAGTGGTTTGTGATTGTGTCATTGGGAAGGAACAACATGACTTCAGACTTCTTTTCATTGAAACTTAAGAAATTTAAAGCCATCCAATTCCTGATGTCAGCCAGGCAGTCGAGCATGTACTATTGTGTCTTAGGGGGAAGTAAATTTGACAGTCATCGGCGTAGAAGTGAAAGGGTATGTTGTGTTTCTGGAAAATAGCACCAAGTGGCAGCAGGTATAAAGAGAATAGGAGGGGACCCAGGATGGACCCCTGCGGAACCCCCCATTTAAGCTCTGCCGTTGCAGAACTAAAATTCTTGATGGAGACACAAAAGGATCTGTCAGCGAGGTAGGATCTGAACCAATTAAGGGCTGCTTTGTTAATGAGAGGATAAATTATATTTTTAAAGTGTACGTAAGTGTGAAAATAAAGTTGCAGGATGAACCTTCTGTCCCAGTCACCACAGCAAGGTGAATAGATCACTTTTTTTTACATGAACAAAAATAGAGAGGTTTGGATTTAATAACATTATGGTAAATGTATTATTCATGTTATATGGGCAAAGTATTTCCTGAGTGTTAGCAATGGCCCGTAAATCATCACCGCCAAGCTCTTGATGCCTTCAACTAACAACTATACCTAAAGTATGTTTGTTTGTTTGTTTGTTTGTTTTTTATAAATATTTAACAGTGAGAATATATCAATATATTCAAATAGTTCAAGAGACATTTTTCACTATGCATGCTAACTGTGGAAAAAAATTCTAACTGGATTTTAAAAGAAGGCCCTAAAGGTGTCTTCTGACATCTTCCTGGCAAAATATCTATCTAAGAAGTTTTTAGTCATCCATTTTTCAACATACAAGATTAACAAGGGTTAATCAATAGCATTATGTGTAACAAGGTAGTAAAGTTTTTGAAACAGAATATTCTGTTCTGGAACACTGTGCTCATATTTCTGGTTCACGTGTTCCTTTATTTGTTTATGCAATGTAAAAAATTGCTCATCGGGTTCCTTGATTCAGCGGTGTGTTAAAGGTGCGTTTGCTCACAGAGAACTGAGTGATACTGTAATAACGGTGTTGTAAAAGGGTGACAGTTGAACACGGAGGCCACGCTCCTGTTTAATGATGGATGGATTCTCTTCACAACTCAGCCCATCACAGAAGAGCAACATCGTCATGCCTGGACTCTATGGTCTACACTCGTCTGCAAGCCAGCAGTCACTCTCATAGTTGCCAATAGGGGTGTAACAATACATCGATTTAAATTGATATATCGATTAAATGATTAATGATCCGATTATATCGTGACAAAACTAAAATATCGATTCATATCGCCATCTTTAAAATACGCTTTTATTTTGAAATTCCCGAGGTATGTCTGCGTCACCATGTCCATGCGTGGCTGCGCTCTGCGACTGCCTCAGCAACATGGCAGACGAGGCAGAAAACACAGATAATGAAATTCACTCTCCTGCTGGATCAACACTGGAAATATTTTGGATCCCGACAGAAAGACGGCTCAACAGACAAAACTCATGCCGTATGCAGCAGGTGCCAGTGTGATTTAAAATACTTGGGAAACACAACAAATTTGGTCGTTCACCTTAAGAAGAAACACGGCATTGATAGACAGGTTATGTAAACTCAATTTCTATTTTTGTTTCTGAGAAATGTGAGACTATACTGAACAGGTTATTTATTTTTATTTTTTGCATTCATTTGTATTTTGCTTTGTGTGTTACCTGTTGTTCTGTCTGTACAGCACTTTGGTTGGCCTTGTCGCTGTTTTAAGTGCTCTATAAATAAAATGGTATGGTATTAATTAAAAATATATATTTTTATTTAAATGTCTGGTGCCTGTAATAACAGAAATAAAATGGTTAAATCATATTTGACTTGTTTTTGTAAATTTATTTATATGTAAATGACGTGGGCATTTGATATCGTAATATTTCGATCGCAGACTTGTGAATCGAATAGAATCAAAATCGTATCGTGACAGACGTTGTCATATCAAGAAAAATCGTATCGTCATACAAACAAATCAATATAATATCGTAATGTGATAAAGCTGGTGATTTACACCTCTAGTTGTCAAGTACGCTTATTATAAGTGACTTTGGGCTTGTTTTTTTATAAAGTCGCTTGCAAATCTTGTGAGTCACGTTTTTTTGGACTTGTTTTGAACGTGAAGTTGCTTATTTGGGCTTGACTTTCTTTCCAAGTGAAACTAGTTGATTATCTCCCAGCACCGCACAATAAAGCAAAAGAAGAGTGGTAGTAGGTAGTTTGTCCCTTCCACGCCCCCGTTTCCTGTTTATCGCTCCCGCCCAAGTTGACAAGGCGACAGGCACACCCAAACAAACACTCATACTGTGGCCGACCACTAGGGGGCTCCTTCACACCCAGATGTCAGGATGTTTTGTTTTTAAAAATATGTAGAAAAAATATGATTTACGTATTTGTTACATATGCAAAATGTATTGTTTCTCAGAGCTTAAAAGTATGTTATTCAAAGTGTTTAGCATAATTTTACTGTTGTTTATGTGTAATGCCATAATAAATGTATGTTTATACTGTTTTAAAACAGCCTCTGTTTTACACAATGTGGTGGGTTGCCAGTTGGGCTTGTTTTCATAGAGCTGGTTGCTTGTTTCTAACATTTAGATCTGGCAACACTGGTCACTCTTCAGGGATGAAGATGTGCACATCCTTCTTAGAGAGCAATGCTCGTTTGATTGAGGAGTAAAGAACGCCATCTTTATGAAGAGAACCCGTCCATCATTAAACAGGGGCGGAGGTCTCTGTGTTCAACTGTCCCCCTCGTTCAATGCTGTAATACTAGAATCACTCGGCATCCTGTGAAGAGCAAGCGACCATCGAGGGTGCTAACAATCGATTGTTAGGCTAATGTTCCTCTTTTTACATGTGAACCTCTAGTTCTGGATGTCACCAGCAAACTGGTTGATCCACTATGAGAAGTTTTTTTATAAGACTGAGTTTGTTGCAGCTTCTCAGACTGAAGAAGTCTTTTGGATAAAAGACAAAATGTTTCAACAAAGACGAATCCATCCAGAGGAACTGACTCAGCCTAGTTAGATTTATGTACCTGGATTATTGAGCATGCATCAGGGCAGTTCTCTTGAATGTTTCATAGAAATTCAGTTCTCATGCAAGTTCTGTCTTCACTTGTTTTTATTGTGCTTTCTTTCTCCTGTCAGTGAGCACACTTCTCAGAAGAAGCTGGACATGTGCTCAGGCTTGTGTGAGCAAAATGTTATTAAGGTTTCTGTGACGTTTTTGCTTTGAAAAACCATCTCTAAGCTCTCAGTTGTCGTAAAGCTGCGCTCATCTTTGTGACGCAGCAGGAGACTTTTATCAGTTCAGATGTCATGAACTAAAAAAAATGCTGGATATTGGATGGACTGTGTTGACTTTGGGCTTGGTGATGTGACGTCATCTGCTGAGTCAGCTAATCGATTGTTCAACGCAGGCAGAAAAGCTCAATTTTGTCTGTCCTATGATTTCAAATTACTAAAAATGCATGCGTTTAAGCAGACGTTTGACCTCGAGTCAGACAGTTAACGTTTGCTGAAGTTGGATTATTATTTTATTTTTTTTAAACATCTACCAACAAAATTATCAACATAATGTCACTAAATTTTTTATGGACATATGCAAATTTCCTACTATAGAGTAGTTTTAATGAGAAACTTAAACACGATTAAAAGTCAATGCAAAACTTGTGCTTCCTGAAGTAATACGTGCTTTTAGTGAGAGGATAAATTATACTTTTAAAGTGTACGTAACTGTGAAAATAATTTCTAATTTTATGAAGTTGTTACAGATTCAATGATTTTATTGCACTGCATGTTTTTTTTAAGTAGACATATTGATTCTCTGCAAAATGTCAGTCGGTCATTTCAATCTAAATGGAAACCTGAACAGAACAGTTGGAGTAATTTTGTTTCTACAAATACACAACAAGCTTCGCACTTGAGTCTAAATATAATAAGCCCAGAGTGTGTGTGTGTGTGTGTGTGTTTGCATTCAGGCTCTGGGCCCTGCACCGAAGTGGTGCTCGTTCCTTGACAGCCTAACGGAGGAGCTGGAGGAGAATCCAGAGAGCGCCGTGTACGATGACTACAAGTTTGTCACCCGGAAGGACCTTGAAAATCTGGGTGAGATGAAGTGCCTTAAAGTTCTGCAGCAAACACAGGCTATAAACGGATTGTTGCATTTAAAAAGGGGTAACTTCAAACTGAATCAAAGTGAGCCTTTCTGCTGCTGAAAGGGTAGGTAGAGTCTGATTTGAGGCCTGCAGAGTAGCCGAGAGGTTTTAGGTAAGAAAAGTAGGGTAGAGGGAGGGAGACGACACCAGAGGGGTTGAATGAACACTGGAATGCAGGCTCAGCAGTAAAGAGATCAAATGACAAGAAAGCAGAAGAGTGGTTGGCTTGTGCGGAATAAAGGGGTGTGGGGGTTGGTCCTCGAGGACAGCAGTGTTGATTTACAGGAGCCTCGTAACGCAGCCCTCTTACGTAACCACTCTGAGGTTTCTGAGTACAACCTATTGATGCAGTTTCCAGTAAATTACTCCACGTTCTGTGTCCTGTTTGAGGATTGCAGGCTTGAACTCATCAAATATGTCCTCCGATAGTTCCAGACATCCAGCTGCTACTAGCTACGCTCGTGAACTTCCCACATGTTCTCAGCTTTGATTTACTGCGTCAGTAATGTCTGTGGTTTTCTTTCACACGAGGAAAGAATGTGTGAATAATCTTACGTTTTGTTAAATGTACTGAAGCTTTTATCAGGATCAGCTTCACCCCAACTCTTGAACATCATTTGGTTTGAAAGGTTCATTAAATTATTGAGGTATTATGTCATCCAGTACTTGTGATCATAAATTTATGTACTGGTAAAAAAAACTGTCATCTTATGTCATCACTAAAAGACTGCGTTGTTCATCAGATTTAATGAATGAATGGGATTTTTGTTTGTTTCTTTCTTTCTTTCTCTTTACAGGTTTGTCTCACTTGGTGGGATCATCTTTCCTGAGGGCCTACATGCACGGCTTTTTCATGGATATACGACTTTATCATAAGGTTGAAAGTTTATGGCTGTATCATCTTGTTCTTGCATGTTTTGAGATGTTATTTGGAGTCAATACTGGTTCTATGGTAATCAGATCATTCTGAAAATATGCCAAAAATGATGTATTCATGTTTGGTTCTGCCCCAGGTGAAAGTCATGGCTAACCCTTTTGCATACGAAGAGTACCGCAAGGATAAAATCCGTCAGAAGATTGAAGAGTCCAGAACACAGAGAGTTCAGATTAAGGTGAGAAATTCTGGCAGCATTTTTTATTTTTCCTGTTTGATCCACTTATCTCAAGTTCATGTTGTTCTTCTCCCCCCCCCCTTCTTCATTTGTTAAAATGTATCAATCTTGTAGTGAACACGTGGGTACGTGCCACTAGTTGTAGTATGACAATATATGAGATATATATTGATACAATATACACGAGTTCCTCATCTTTCTGACTGTGTAATGTCGTGCATTGAATTTAACAAAAATGTAACGAGAGACGTCATTTATCTTTGACCCATCAAAATGAATGCGGTCATTTATTTTCAGAATCAAAGTTTAACATCAAACATTTACATTAATTTGGCAAAATATGAAAATAATAACAGACAAGTTTCACAGAAAATGAGCATCAATCACTCGGCGGTGAACGAGGACTTTGCTTCAGATATTTCTAAAATATCTGTACTGATTTTATGAGAAAGAGGAGAGTTTTAAGATGACATGGAGATTTATCTTACAGAGAACTATGTGAGGGAATTAATCTGTTTGACCAGAACGTGCACGCTTCATCAGATCTCAGCTCGCCTCCGGTACACTTTAGTCGAAGAAGAGACCGTTACCTGGTAGATGATAGATCAGCTCGATAGAGAATCCTCCAGACCTTTCAGCGTCTCCGTTGAGAGCGGCTGAAATCCTTAGATAGTCGTGTGTGGTTTGTTCAAACAGAAGTTATAATTCCAAAACGTCTCTGGACCATCTTGAATGCGTTTGCACCCAAGAATACTGAACTCCTTTCATTCTTCAGAACTTTCAGACTCTTAATTGTCAGCAACTCTGTACTCTCGAATCCTCCGGAATTCTTCTGAATTCTCTTCCCTTCTAACATGAACTGGGAAGTTGCCACATTTAAAATGGGTCGACTTCCGGTTCATTTGAGAGCTTTTGATTGGTCGATGGACCAGAAAGAGGTGTGTTTTTGTGATGTAAGATGTTATCATAAGTCAAGGATTGTTTTCAACATACAGAAAAGATTATTGCAGACGACCAGACTTCGTGGAGTCTCACGCTGTTGTATCTTCTCAAATAGTAAAACATGACATTTCTTTTTCAGTAAACATTTAGTTGACCGAAGCTTCAACTTTCACATACTTACATTACTTGGCTCATTTCAGACAGAGAATCAAGAAATGCATATTAACCTGATTTCTTCTTTAAATGAGGAATAAAAATCATTACTTACTGTTTATGTAAAATAAAAATGAGTAGTTCTTTCCAACCTGTAAGCATTGAATGGAACTAACACAATTTGATTATCAAACATTTGTAAAACAGTAAATGATTATAGAGAATTGTCTTTTCTGCTTGATTAATTCAAGAAAGAAAGTCACCAGATGGCTCAGACTGTATTCAGATCAATGAAAATAACAGTCTCTGTCCATCTGATAGATTTGAGGTCATCAGGGTCAGATCAGGGTCAGATCAGGGTCAGATCAGGTTCACTACAATCTCAATAACTGCTCTGATCAAACAGGATTACTCTGGTTAATACCAACCCAGCTGTTGCGTCACAGCTAAAAACAAACTTTCTTCACATCCTGTCGTACTCATTACAAAAGTGAAACAATGGTTCTCAAAAATGTCATGTGAAGATGTCAGTAATGTTTTTTTTTTTTTGTCTCTCAGCTGATTTAATCAAAGTTTCGTTTGTTGTTTGTGTAATAGTGTAAAAAAAATCTGTTTTGATTGAGACAGAAGCTTCCTAAAGTGAACAAGGATCTGGCTCTCAAACTGATGGAGGAGGAGGAGGATGGAGCAAAGGTTGGGGCTTCTAGGAAAAAGAAGAGCAAGGTATGATGGATATCAGGATGGCCACACCCTGTTTGTGCCCTGAAATCACTGCCTCTGAAGTTTTGTTTGTATTTAGTTTTGTGTGGTGACGTCTTAAATGATCAAATCAACAACAATCAAGACAAAACACATGATTCGTCATCCCATCCAGCGTTTTTCCTTCAGATATTTTTGATTTCTACATGCTGACAAATTATCACAGCTTCCTAAAACCCTGACTCACTCTGAAAATATTACCATACATGGTATAATTTATTTAACCATGAACTCAAACATATCTTTTTTTTATTTTTTTTTTATCACAACTACAGGCGCTCCCTAGCATACTAGGAGACGATCGTTTCAAGGTGATGTTTGAAAACCCAGAATTCCAAGTGGACGAGCAGAGCGAGGAGTTCCGGTTGCTCAACCCCATCGTCTCCAAGGTGGGACAGAAAAGAAAGAAGAAGCTGCGTCTGCTGGCGGAGCAGGCTACTGCTCAACAGGTAACGCCGATTCATGCTGTGGCTGCAGCTCCTGGCCTCATGTCTACTCCTCTTCAAGTATTTTAAATTATCTTTGTCTCTCAAGGCGGCTGACGACGAAGAGGAGCCGGAAGGAAAAGCCAGCTCCGAGGAGGAAAGCTCTGACGATGACAAGAGCTGGGTGGAGGAGGTGAGGGAGCAGCGGAGGTTACTGTGGCAAGAGGGCAGAGATAAGCGAAGGCAGGACAGGAAGGAAGCTGACCGCAACACCGTCCTGCTGGAGCCGGACCAGAAAGAAGGGGGGGGGTCCTCAAACATGGCTGAGAGCAAGACAAAGAGCCAGCCGCAGTTTTATCAGCTCAAAGCTGGAGAGGAATTCAGAAGTTTCAACAGCATGGCGCTCAAACACAAGATGCAAAAGTAAGTGCTTTTTAATGTGAAGAATTCTGTTACAAAGTACCCAAAAAACACCTTTTGTGCTGCCTGGTTTAAAATTATAAACTATTACAAGATTACACAAAATGCAGGTGTGTAAATTCTAGTGTTTGCACGGCTTAGTTGATTCTGACTGATGACTGTGTTGTCGTTTAGGGTTTCTCTGGAGGATCGGCTGAGACTGGAGGAAAAGTCGGGCGTCAGCAACATTGTCAACACAGCAGTGGGCAGCAAACAGCTGACCTTCACTCTCAAAAAGGTGCGCAGGTCATTTCTGTGTGTAAGCTATTGTCGTTCCTGTAAATGGTTGAGTTGCTTCAACACAGTGACCAATATAAAAAAAATTGTGAACCATAAAAAATGGTGCAATGAGTGGGTTTAAAATGAAGAAAATCTTCTTTTAGCTGTTCTCTCTTCAGAGGTCTCCACAGAGAATCATCCTCCTCCATCTCGTTCTGTCCTCTGCATCCTCTGTCCTCACTCCACTACCTCCATGTCTCCTCTAACTTCATCTCCTCTTTGTCTTTTTTCCTGGCAGCTGCATTTCTAACATCCTTCTACCAATATACCCACTGTCCCTCCTCTGGACATGTCCAAACCATCTCAGTCTGATCTCTCTAACTTTATCTCCCAGTTGTTCAACCTGGGCTGTACCTCTGATGATCTCATTCCTAATCTGATCCATCCTTGTCACTCCTATGGAGAACCTCAAGATCTTCATTTCTGCCACTTCCTGTTCTGTTTCCTGTCTTTTTGTCAATGCCACTGTCTCCAGACCATACCACATACCTGGTCTCATCACTGTCTTGTAAACCTTTCCATTGTCCTTTGTTGCCACTCTTTTATCACAAATCACTTCTAAAAAAATTCTCCATCCACTCCATCCTGCCTGGGCTCTCTTTTTCACCTCTTTACTGCACTTCCCATGTCCCTTTTTCATCCCTTTTCCCTTCTACTTCTTCAACAAGGTAAAGAGGGGAAGGGAATAAATTGTATTTAAGTTGATATTAAAGAACTACAAAAACCAGTGCAACACATTCCACTTGATTTCCAATAAAAGGTGACAAAATACAGCAATACAACAAAACACCAGTGTAACAAAGAAAGATTTGAAGAAAATCTAGTTTGGTGTAGGTCCTTACTCTGCAGTCTTAAGTTTATTTTTGTTGTTTTTTTAATACAAGTAAAGCTTTCTCCAAAAACCCGTCTAAAACAGCAACTGGACTTCTTTTCTGTAGGTAAAGCTGTTTCATTAACCATCCAGGAAAATCTTGATATTTGAATGTTGCAATTAAATTGATGTTGAAAACTAGTCACTGCCTTGGTCACCAAGTGATGGAATCACACAGCACACGTTTAATGAACTTCCTGGTTTTTGTTTTCCCCCTCTGTGCAGTCGGAGCAGCAGAGGAAACAGCAGCAGGCGGACCGGGAACACCACGAGGAGAGGAAGAAGCTGAGGCGCTCTGCCGGACACCTGAGCAGCAGCCGAGGGAGAGGCTGGGGCAGCAGAGGAAGAGGAAGAGGACACTTCTGAAGAGACTGGACAAGTAAAGACAGATGAAACAGAACTGTTCTCAAACTAAAGTCCAAATTGTTTAGTATTATTGTTATTATTATTTACCTCTAAACAGTAGGGGAGAGTTGCAGACAAGAAGACTAGAAATGAAGTGACAAGCCTGTCCTCCTGGGTGGTTTTTACGTCCTCTCTGTAAACACTGCATCTTTCAAAAGGTGTCAGTTTGTGTATAAATGTAAAAACAGACTAGGGTATGTACGTCTTTACTGCAGATAATTCAGCATGAGGAACTTAAAGAGGGTTGAGTTCCTGAATGACTCTTTTTAACAGTCAGTTGTGTCCAACCATCAGTTGTAGATGTGGACGAGAAATGTATTTTTATCATGTTTGAAAATGAAAATTGTTGCTCTAACACAACTACTTTTACAATACATTATGTTTCATCCAAGGTTTACTTTTCTGTGTTTTTTTTTTTTTTATTGTTTAAAATCAATGTTTAGATTATTTGCATACCAAATGCATCAAGACATCCATAGTATGTCTTAATTACAGCAGATTGTTACCCATAAACCAAGAGTAAGAGCAGGAAGAGAAACATACTTTAGTATTTAGGAATCAAATACCTGATGTTTTTACCGATCCACCCCAAGTTATTCCGAGCAGATAATTCCTGTCAAATATGATTACCATTAGTCCTTGCCTAGAAGTTTATTTTAAACTCATCAGATGTCAACTTGATTTTTCCATAAGACCCAATCATCATGTTTTGTGACTGAAAATTCCAGTAAAACCATCATTTCAAATTCATATTTCACTCTGGACTTTTGCATTTACATCCCAATTTACTCTTGTTGCAGCCCTAAAAAGGAACTATGTGGCGAAATGTGCTTATATAAATTGACAATTTGCTCATCAGCTGCTGTTGTCTTTCTAGCTTTTTCTCACATTGATCTTTAATTTTTCCTTTTTGTCATTTGACACTAAATCTTATCTGCAAACAGAGCTGTATTTGAAATAAATTGACAGTGGTAGCAAATCTTTGAAATGAACAGCTCTGTGGAGATCCTCAGCAGAGTGGATGAGTGACTTCTGATGACAGATCTGCATCCTTGGTTCCTCCTCTGTGTTGGGACATCAGTTACACTGTTTTTCTGTGCAACAAGTAAGTATGTCATCTGATGTTGTTGCAGGTAAAGTGTCCTCTTTTTCTTTCACAGTAGTTTGGTGTCACCATGATAAGTGACAATTAGGACAGAGGAGGTACAGCCCTAAAAACAAAAATATAGAACCCAGCTGCATCCCGTGTTTGAGTTTAGAGGCATTTTCAAGTTTTAGACCAGCATCATGAAGGCCTGGAAATTATTTTATTTTATGAAATGTATGCAGCATTACTCATACTTTATTTCTAATGATCAACTCCACTCAGGTTTTTTTTTTTTTTTTTTTTTTTACCCTCAAAAGCACTTATTCACAGCAAAAGTTTAGTTTAATACAGTCCAATATTTTTTCTTCCAATTTTATTGTGTTCAATATAATGACTGTTATAAAACTGCAACCAAGAAACCAGCAGATCACATAAAATTTTGTTTTTAGTTCTCCATGTTGAGTTTATGGTGCAGCTGGGAGACTTTTCCTTTTGCTAGGAAGAGTCCTCAAGCAGAACCAAAAAGGATGACCATCTGCTTTGCCCAGCTGAGGACTGAGAGGACGGAAACATTTGAGGCCAAGAACTCAGGCTATATAGGAAAAAAGTCATAAGATGCAATCAGTACAGTGCAAAAAAAAAAACCTTGTTCCAACCTTTTACATATTTGCACTTTTTATCCTTTTCATGCTTTGTTTTATGAGCAAATTACCAAACACTGGCACATAACATTTAAAGCTTTGGGTCCTTCCATCTCTTTTTTTTTGCCTGCAAATGGGTCATATCACTAAAATATGCTGATGCAGCCGTTTCAACAAGTTTTAGGCCAACCCAGAAACACACAAAAGATGTCCCAGTGAAAATATGGTCGCCTACTCTTTTTTTTTTTTTTTTTTTTTTGTTTCCCCATCTCCACAGAGGTGATCAAACACAAAAACTTGGCAACTCGCACCAAAAGTAAAAAAAGATGATGAGTCAGCAGAGCCCGATTTAACAATAGGAATACAAAAGACCAAGTATGGCAGCAGAGTGGTCAGGTGTTATACCAGTTTAAAAAAATAAATATAAGTCTGGTGATAGTTTGATATGTTTATGAGATATTCTCTTAACTCCTGCTATTTCTGCAAGAAAGCTGGGTATTTTCTTTAAAAGATAGCAACAGCTTTCAACTTTGTGCAGCCACGAAGGAGTTCAGTCAGCACACATCCACATGAACAAAGCTTCAAGTGCCTTTTTATATAAAGGTTTTGTGGCAACATGCCTGACACCACAGCCAAGCCTAAATTACAAGCAACACGTTCTGTGGATCAGAGAAAATGTGCAGCTTTATCTTTTTCCATGAAATATCTGAAACTAACTTGCCTCACTATTCTATCTTACTTTATTCCAGACTGAATTGGCAAAATAAAACCTGACTGTCATGTTTTTTACATATTTACACGTCCACATGCTTCTTGAAGTGACTTAAACGTGACCAAGATGTCAGACGGCAGCAGCATCTGTTCAGGTTATCTGTCTGGCTCAGTGAGGAATGTTTACCCAAATTGAGGTTAAGCCTTATTGGATTTTGCTTGGTAACCTGTTGCCACCTGTAATCCCCATCTTCTGACACATCACTGGCTGTTTCAGCGAGTGTTTCATCCTTAAATGAATGACTCAGTTGCTAACTGCCTGAAACCAGTTAGTTGTGATGCCACAACTGGGCAACTTCTATTTGCAGTTGCAATTGGCATTGAAAGAAAGGCCAAACCCATACTTGTGACTTCCATGATCATCTCAGGAATTAGCTCAGTAAGGAAGTCATGCACGATTTTACTGAACTTTTACAGTAAACAACAAAAAAGTTACTGTCAAGGCCTGTCATGCACCCTGATCTCAATCACACACGATACGCAGTTGATTATTACAAACAGGATTGCAGCAGATGACTGAGAAACTACAGACTAATAAAGAAACATATTAGCGAGCTGCAGTAACGCTATCAAGAGAACTTCTCCCCAAGCATCGTGTGGGAGTTCAGAAACAATCCTGATTCTTGTTGAGAGCTGAGGCCTTGCAGATGTGGGAGTTGAGCCACAATAGTCCACAGTAATTATAACAGGCTCTGTACACAGAGGCTGAGACAGACATTACAAGAGGAAAGGAAGGACAGGGGTGAAGGTGAGGGTAACCGCATGCTGGCAGGACAGAAAATAAATCACTGGAAGGAGGTGGAACATTTTGGTGTAAAACCTGTTTTAATATTTTCTTGTGATTTTGAATGTTAATGAAAAATTGTTGAAAATTAACTTGCCCTTAGGAGTGCAACTAGTCTGTTCCGCATGAAAAATTGGCTCAACGTTTGACATGACAGTATGTTGTCATGGGGAAAACTCTGTCTGTTAGTGTTTTTATTTTTAATTTTTAAAAAATAATTTTCCTCCAAATTACAAAAAACAGCTTCTAAGAATTACATTTCTTGATAAGGGTGACTTCATTCACTAAACCTGGTTTTGAATGGAAAACTATTTGTGCTCTGATGAGAATCTTTATTGTGGCCTCAAGACCTGGAAAAAATATTAAGCCCACAGACATGTGGTCCTTAAAGCTCCGTTGTTTCCTCTCAGTGTCTTAGAACTGATGCATGTGCAGCATTTCCACATGTGTTTAAGTCAAACTAACCAAATTCTTCATTTTCCTCCGTTTGGTAATGTCTGCTTTCAAACCAAACGTCTGTGACAGCAACCTTTGGACTGATTAGTCTGCGTGGTAAGGAGGGTTCAGTTTTTTAAAAGCCTTTTTACTGCTTAGAATAAGATCACTGAGAGCCTTCTATCCAATGCTGCACACTATTTTCAGTAGCTTACAACAATGTGTGATATATTTTTTCATTACTGTACAAAGCTGGGCATAAATGTACAGTAAATTTGGAAAATGAATCTTGGATACAGGAAAATTCCAGATGATTGCATGATTTACCGGCATACAGACTAACTCCATTTCCAAAACATTGGAAAGTGTTCCAAAAATGCTACAAAAACCTAACTTTGGATGAGCCGAAGATGAGAAAGACCACCCAGGCTGACTATGTGAAAGGCGTAAAAGCCATCATTTAGTGTGCTTCAGTGTTTGTGGCACATTATGAAGAAGAACAGTGTCCACAGAGTTTTAAGCATCTTAAATCCTAAAGTTCAGTAGAAGTGAACTCTATAAGACAGCAGCAATCCAACTTTCCAGGATTGTTGTGGAGCAGTTTTATCATGTCACTTATCCTTCTTTAATCATATTAGATCAGTCGCAGCTCAGACTGAGACGGAGCAGACTCCCATAAAGCCTGATCACATTACGGATACGTTGTTGTCAGATGCAGCAGATTGTTGCAGGCATGACCGAGCATCTCTGGGGATAACAGAAATACAGTGTAGGGTTCTTGAAGGATAGTGGACTATAAGGTAAACTTTTCTGTGCTGACCCTTCTCAAGCTGGTGCCTCTTGATCAGTTAATCAATGTGCTTGATTGTGAGCACTGGATTGCTTTTAACCCTCTTAAATCAAATGGACTTACATAAACATTTTGTTCTGAATGCATTAAAATTCTAAGAGAGGGAGGTTATAAAGGTGTAATTCCTTGAAAACGTAACTTCAGTCGATTTTAATCTATAGGTAAACATTTCACATATATGGTTTAAAAAACACGTGACCACATTTTGCTGACATGATTGCACTGCAGACGTGTGTGCAGTTGAGTTGTTATACTGATTACCTTAAATTTGCATAGTGTTTCTATAATCAGTGCAGTAGTAAAGACCGAGCTTTTATTAAACAATGATGGAAAAATGTTTCTTGTCATAAATCATATTTTCTCATGTTTGTTAATTTCTTCATATTGTGCAAGTTTTGATCTAGCCCTAATTTCTTTTAAAAAATTCTTACAAGAATCCAGATGTTGTTGTAATTTCAGAAATGACTATAAGCAATAGATCTCGTCTTTCATAGTATTGAAATGCAGGGTTTGTCCTCTATTGTGCACACTTTTGAATAATTTCAAATATATTTAAACTCAAGGAACAAATTAAGACTTGCATCAACTCGTAATTTAACAAAAAAAAAAAAGCTGTATTACAGTACTAGAAAGTAACTACTAATTTGTAACAATAAAAATGAGAATGTGTATTTGTAGTTCTGTTACGCTGCATCATTGAATTTAAATGTTTTTTCTTGAAGTTTTCTTTTGAATGGCTTAACACTGGAGTACAAATCAATTGAAATGCAGTCAAAGTCCAAACACAAACTAAAATACTTTCAAAAGCTGCAGAAGATACTACTAAAGACTAGTTTGATCTTTGCACAATCCAGCCAACATTTGCTTAAAAAAGACCCCTACGGCATATAATGTCTTAACTACAATGTTGTGACAAAATTCAGGATTTGTAAAAAAAAAAAAATCCGTTTTAGCAGCCTGTAGTCTCTCCATTAATCTGTAGCTGCTGTGGCAGTGTCTATATCCCACCATGTGGATGAGGTGACAAGCCAAAACCGGTTCCTACGTGGATGTGAGGCCGGTTTCAGCTGGCTACGTTGCCGTGGCAACGGCCCCTCTATAAATACTCTGAGTCTTCTTCACCGGTTTACAGTCAGTCTGGCTACTCCTCCAAGCAGCGCACTTCGTCGTGAAGGGGAACTGCTTTTTCAAACCCATCTCTTTAGTCTAATGGACAAACTCTTTGTAAATGCTTTTTAAGGTAAGCATCGACTTTTTGACGCCGTTTCTACACTAGACGTTTAATTAAGTCAGCTCTGCGTGCTACGTGGCTGGCTTCACAATCGAATGATGCTAAGCTAGCATTCTTTGTTTCTTTTGCGATTTTGCTGATAGGACTCTTTTCTATACTGATAGTGTTTTATCACCACTAGATGATTTATTTTATTTTTGGCCTACAGAGCTGTTTTTAAACAGGTTGTCAATTTTAATCAGTTGGTTATTAATAACGAATTGAAATGCAATGAACATTGCCTCATGGCATGAAGAGCTCCAAGCGGAACCGGCGTGCTGACGTCAGGAAAGTAGTAGTCGTTGATTGGTCAATTTTCGTTCATTCTTTTAAAGTTGAGGGTGGATCATAGTTGTGATTGGTTGAAAGGTTTTAAGTAGGCGTTGCCTCAAAGTGCCCTACGCTTTCAATGACTTTTCCGGTGTCAAGTTAACGTGACATTTATAAAATGGAGCCCTGTCAACTCAATAAAGCCACGTAAAATGGTGTTTTCTAAATTAATTCTTGACTATTTGAAGCCGAGAACCGGTATAGTAAAAGTTTAGAGTTCATAGCAGTCAAGTAATGCACTTTTTTCTCCTCTTTACTTCTTGTAAATGAACAAAAAATACATTTAAAACAATTCGATCAACTTTTTTTTTTTATAGAACCTCCACTCAAGGAAATCACACTCCAGTTGCTCAACAGGCCCTGGCCTTGAGTCTTATTTAAAGGGGTTTAATTTCACTGGTGAGCCACCTTGGTTTCACTGCACCTGAGCGACGACAGCGCCAAATTTCTCTCTTTCATATCCAAGTAAGTGCCTTGTTTCATTGGCTATTACGGTACTCATCATGTTAATTATAAGTAGCATATGTAATGGAGTTAAATGATCAATGCCACAAAAGATTCTGTCAAAGCTATAAGTTTGTTTTTTTTCTTCTTCCAGGTTGTGCAAAAAGAATCATGATGACCACTGCCGCACTCACCGATTTTGAATTTTCTTTCCTTGACGAGGGCTTCTCTGCTCGGGATATTGTTGAGCAGAAAATCAATGAGTCATCCTTGACGGTAAGCATCCTGTGCTGGTATTGTTTATGTAATACACAGATGGGCCCATTTGTTGTGATAATCAACTGAAGTCCTACTGTATATCGCATGACATTTGGGACTGTAGTGCTATTTAAAGCATTTAATCATTGTGTATCTGGTAAATGGATTTTACCGTGTGTAAATTTATATTTTCAACTATTGCAGGATGACAGGGATGCTTTTTATGTCTGTGACCTGGGAGATGTCATAAAGAAGCACCTTCGCTGGGGGAGGGCACTGCCTCGCATTACTCCATTCTACGCTGTCAAGTGCAACGACAGCCAGGCTGTAGTCATGACTCTGGCATCCCTGGGAACTGGCTTTGACTGTGCAAGCAAGGTGCGTTTTAGATCTTTTCCACTGATACTCTTTGTGTAAAGGAGACAGCCCTTGAATATTTGATGAAACCGCATTGGCACAGTCATTTAATTTTTGCTTACCGTCATTGTTGCCCTCCAGATGGAGATCCAGCTGGTTCAGTCTTTGGGAGTGGATCCAAGCAGAATAATTTACGCCAACCCCTGCAAGCAAGTTTCTCAGATAAAGTATGCGTCTTCACATGGGGTGCAGATGATGACATTTGATAGTGAAGTGGAACTCATGAAAGTGGCTCGTTGCCATGACAACGCCAAGTAAGACTTTTCGCCAACTTGGTCAAATTTATTGCTTTTTTCTTTTCAGTTTCGTCCTTTTTGTTAACGCTGTTTTTGTTCCGTGCCCAGGCTAGTGTTGCGCATCGCCACCGATGACTCAAAGGCACGTTGTCGTCTGAGTGTGAAGTTTGGGGCCCCTCTTAAAGCTTGTCGGGGTCTTCTTGAGCGGGCCAAGGAACTGGGGCTGGAGGTGATTGGCGTCAGCTTCCATGTTGGCAGCGGCTGCACCGATGCAGAGACCTACACCAAAGCTATTGCAGATGCTCGCTGTGTCTTTGATATGGGGGTGAGTTGTGGCTAAAATCTACATGCAGCTGTAATTCATGAAGGTTTGCACGCTGCAAAAAACCCTGAAGTTTTACGATGTGATCCACAGGATGAACTGGGTTTCAACATGGATCTCCTTGACATTGGAGGTGGCTTCCCTGGCTCGGACAACACTGAACTTAAATTTGAAGAGGTAGCTAGTTTTTGCACATCAAAAAGACTCCTTATTCCCATGTGAATGTGATCATGACTGAAGTTTTCCGTTGCAGATCACTGCAGTAATAAATCCAGCCCTCGACAAGTATTTTCCTGTCGACGCTGGCGTTAGGATCATTGCTGAGCCGGGACGTTTCTATGTGGCATCTGCCTACACCCTGGTTGTGAACGTCATCGCCAAGAAGGTTATTGCAGATGACGATTCTGCCTCTGATGGTAACTTTGATTATGGAAATCGATCTGGATTATTTTCAATTCCTTTTTATTCTTAAAGCCTTGCTGCATTGATTAAACTACCTGCTGTTTTTACAGAGGAAGATGAAGAAACTAGTGACAAGACTCTGATGTACTACGTCAATGATGGGGTGTATGGCTCCTTCAACTGCATACTGTTTGACCACGCTCACTGTTTGCCATTGCTGCATAAGGTTTGTGAAATGCTAAATTGTTATGCATAAGCACTATTAAGTTACAAAATACATGATTAAAATTTGTTTTGGACTCGTTCTAACAGAAGCCAAAGCCAGATGAGATCATGTACCCCTGCAGTATCTGGGGCCCAACTTGTGACGGTCTGGACCGGATTGTGGAGCAGTGTTACCTGCCGGAAATGCAGGTGGGCGACTGGATGGTCTTTGAGAATATGGGTGCCTACACTGTAGCTGCATCCTCCACCTTCAACGGTTTTCAAAGACCTGACATGTACTACGTGATGTCTCGGCCCGCATGGTGAGAAGCAGATTGTCAGGGTAATTTTCTAGGTTTAAAAGTTCTTATAGCATTTAACTAATTTTATAATTTTTTTTTTTTAGGCAACAATTGCAGCAGATTAGTTCCCAGGGCCTGCCAGGTACTGTGGAGGACTCTTCCCTGTTTGACGTGCCAGCATCCTGCGGGCGAGAGAGTAACATGGTGATGACGACCGAGCCCTGCCACAAACCTGTTATCAAAACATGCAGCAGCAATGTGTTTTAGATCGAGTGTGTTTGTTAATGATTGGACAACGTTATCTCAACTTGTGACATTGTCAAGGCCAGTTAATTAACGGAAGCATGAGAGGGACACGCTGCACACATTTCTGGGTTTGGTTTAATAGCTGGAGATCAAAGATGAAGTGAAGCTGAATCACACTTAAACTGTCTATGGATTTTAAACGGGATGGAATAGGACTGTTTTCATTCATTTAGTTTCTGCAGTCCACTATCATCAATGACTGAGCAATTATTAATCATTTCACTGAAAGTTCTCATCACAGTAGAACTGAAATCTTTGTCAAACTGCAAACAAGTTGACTGACCGCACAGTGTAAAACATTTAATTGATCTATCAACATTATTACGATAACTCTTGGAGATGGTTAGGGTTGTAATTCAGTTTCTCAGGTGGCTGTTATATATATTTTTTTTATTCATGACCACTGCTTCAGTGCAGAACCTTTTCAAGAAGCACCACATGTAATGACTTATGGCAAAGCAGTTTAGTGCCTGATTCATGCCTTTCAATTTCTGAGAAAACGTTGACTGAATGAATCATACTTTACATATCAGTACACTAAACTCTGAATATCTGCTTTAAGTATTTGCTTCTCACTTCTGGGAAGAAAAGTCTTGAAAGGTTAGTGCTTCAAACACGGGGACTCAAAAAGCAGACTGTACCTCTTCTTTCTAACTTCATTTAACGTTGTAGGTTTAATAGCCATGCATTCTCTGTAACATTAAGACTTAGACACAGTTTGATCATGCATTTAAACTGGATATGAAAGAGACGGGATTGCACATTATTTCTTTCCTATGGAAATCTTTTGAAATTTTGTATTTTTGTAATAAATCATTAGGTGCACAGCCAAATCATGCGTGTGTGGTTTATTTTCAAATGAAACTAACATCCAAAATTGAACTATTTCCAAGTCTAAATATGATTAAGCTTTACATGAATAGATCTGATGGGGGACAGCTATGCCAAACTAAAACGCTGATTTTTAACTGAAATGAAGATAATCACATCATCTTTTAAACAAATTTTATCAATTTTGGTTTAGTTCTTACTGGGAGCTATTTTTGAACCAAGTTGGAATGACGGGTAATCTGAAGGGTGTGCCAGTAAGATCTTTATTGAAGGTTACATTTTTTCTGAGTTTTGGTTCTGGGTTTTTAGTCAAATAAATCAGGTGAACTTTTTGAGGGATCTTTAAAGAATGGAATCACCTAGACCAACCACACAAACTTTAACATGTGCAATTTTTTTTTTTTTTTTGTAATATCAATGTTTTGTTTTTCCTCATGTAGCATTGCTTAAAGTAATTTAATTATTGGACAATTGAGTATTAAAGGCAGCTACACTGGAACATCCAGTAAATGGACACAGCAGGATAAAAAGTATAAATTTAAGAAACGTATCAAAAATCATGCAGCTAATGAAGGTTAACAGAGACAATGATATTCAGCTGTGGTATTTCAAATCAGATTCACACAAATTAAGAGTTAGATTAGTTAAATTAACCTCTAAACCAAATTATGTAACGTCTTATTAACTGACTCCTGAGGGAACTGTCTTGAGGTTGTTCTTTTCACCTGACAGCTGGCTGGAGTCCTGTTTGAGCTTCCAGTCAGCCGTCAGGTGAAAAGGACAAACCCAGACCAGTGGCCAGTATGTTGCAGGAGTTTTAGAGGAACTGAGAAGTTTATTTTCTAAACATGACACCTCAATAGCTTTCAAACCCCAAAATACATTACAGCAAAGACTGGTCCATCCCAAACATCCAGTCCCCCGTCACATAGTAATATTGCGTATGTTGTTCAGTGTCAGGCTGTGATCATTCTTACAGTGAGGAAACTAAACAGCCACTGGCCTAAAGGATGGCCCAGCACAGAAGAACATACTTTTTTAATGTACATGACTTTGATAATTTATTTTTAACCCATAAAAACTGGTATTTGACACAAAACCAAACAATAGATTTATATATAAACAAAACACGCTGTAATTATGAATTTTACAGCCTGACATAAGAACAGATGTGTTGAGTTTTAATATTTGTGATAAACCTGTGGCAACATGTGTTATAATAAAGTGCTCTGTTGAATTATTCAGAAATGTATTGCAGTTTAAACATTGGCATTGATTTGTAGTGCTATATTGTTTGATAAACAATAAAAAGTGTAAAAAGTAATGTAATGTAAATGAAGAGATCATCATACACAATGCTTAGCCCTTCTTTAAAACATTTACAGCTCTAATTCTGTAAAGAATCTATGGATTTGTCAACTTATGTATTTTGTGTTTTAGCTGGATTAGTTCTCCTGGTGTGCAGAAATTCTCGAGTTATACCATAGAATCGTAATCAGACTAAGGTTTGGGTTTTGATGTGGACAACCCCCCCCCCCCCCCCAACACACACACCTTCTTTAAAGCATGCAAAAAATGGTGAATTTAAAAATCATGGCCTTTTAAATCAAAATTAGAGCAGTTTTTACAGTTGTAAAACATTTTATTTAATAGAAGAGGGAGCATATATTCTTATGATTGTGAACCCTTTAAAATAGGATACTGGTTTATTTTACTTGTGAGGGATGCAAACTACACCAACAATCTTTACACAATTAAAAACAACCGCAGATTATTATAGTGCAGGAAAATGTGCATTTTTTTCAGCAGGCATATTTTGGACATTTACATATGTGCATTATTTATGCATCTATCATTATGTTTCCTGATGTACTCAGAAACAACTTTCTCATTATTTAGCTCCTTCCTGAACACCATAATGTAACATTTGGGGGCAAAATGACAGCCGAGGATGCTGTAGCTGTAAATGAGGATGGCTGCAGTGGTTATAACATTTTTATATTTCCCGTTTAAAGTGAGAAACGTTTGGAGCAAGACTAACCATCCGGTCAAAAACAGGAGCATGCTGACAAAAATAAATTAAGTATTTTTGTACAAATCTGGCAAGTGTTGACCTTTAAATGCAACAAATAAACAAATTAGACCCAAGAAAGTGTTATAGGTGACTGTCGCAAAGAAAAAGCACTGTTCTTTCATCATGCATTGGTACAAGATGGTGGTAGTTTTAATCTCCATGGAGACAGCTGGTGGGAATACAGTCAGCCATGATACTGACAGGGACAACGAGACCCCAGAAATACTGATGACCACAGATATCACCTGATTACACTTTGTAATCCAGGACCAGCTCTGAAGAAGGTTAGCCAAAATGCAGAACAGGCTCAGGGAAATACCAGACAGATGTACACCAATGCAGGATTTGTTTCTAGGAATTCCTGGAAACTTGAAGATGAGGCAGGCGTTGAACAGCAGAGAAAGAGCTCTAAAGAAACACAAGCAGCCTCCAGCTGTCTTCACGACAGGAGTGTTGCAGTTCACTTTGATCACAATAGCAAACACAATGATTAGGATTAATGCAATGCCTGCCAAAACACACAAAATGATGGAAGCGGGATCCGTCCATTGGAGAACGTCTTCAGTTTTCTTCAAACACTCATCCCTGAGTTCATTTGTGTACTCAAGATTAAGATTGCAGCGTTTACACCCCTTACCTATAAGCAAGTACCAAAACTGGGAGTGAAAATATAGGAAAAATAATGCAGTTGTTATATTACCGTATTTTTCGGACTATAAGGCACACTTAAAAGCCTTTAATTTTTTATTTTTTTTTTAATCGACAGTGAGCCTAATCAGGTGTGCCTTTTGTATTAATTCTGGTTGTGCTTACTGACCTCGAACTGATTTCATATAGTTATTGTGAATGAGCTGAATAAAGTTTGACTTATTGGACTGTTTTCGCTTAATGCGCTTTATAATCCGGTGTGCCTTATGAAAATATACCCGTTCATTGATATTGCGCCTTATAGTTAAAAAAATACGGTAGTATAAAAAATTTACTCTTATTATTTAATGCTTTTGTCTTTTTCAATACATTAAAAGTAGTTTTATTTGTGTTAATTAAAATGTTGCCCTGTATGTTGATATGTTTTATTTATTTGATGAAATTCTTCAATTTGATCGTTTTATGAAAGGAAAAATTTCAAATGAAAACAATTAGAAAATATTGTTTCCATATGTTCTACTTTATTTTGTACAATCTGTAAGTATACATAAAATGTAAATATTGCAACACTGACCATTTCCTGGTGAAATATATCCATCCAAGCATTTCTCACATTTAAAGCAACACTCTCCGCTTGTTTTTTTGCCAACATTTCTCCTGGGTTACAGGTTTTGGCACATTCAAAAACAGTCACCTTTGAAAGGCACAAGGAAAAAAGCACATTATATTGAGTAATTTATTTGAACCACAAATAAATCAATATATTTTTATCTTACATTCACTGTTTCATATTTTGCTTAGATCTTCTGGAAGAGAGATTGTTCCTTTTGGCCAGTATGCTCCTATGGTTTCTATTGTGATGCCCTGTTGGACTCCGATTTGTTCCAGTAAACAATATCATCCAAAAGTGGGGTCTCCAACTTTGAAATACAAATTAGTAGTGTTCACAGTGATGTTGCCTCAAAAAGCTGTAGAAATATCTTTTAAAAGAAGCAAATTGACATAAGACAGATATCTACTGGTGATAACTTTGCTAATACAGTATTTTGTATAGATTATTGTGGTTTTAGTAAAATTATTAATATTAATGTTAGTTGGGTGACACCTCTATTTTTTTTCCATACTGTATATATTACTGCTATTTACAACCTAGAATTTATAATTTGGACCCTGAAATTATATTTTTGGTTCATTTTTTCCTGAGCTGGGAAACACGAGTGATAACATAGATATTAAAAAACAGATTACTTACAGTATTATTTTTATTTACCTGCATATAAACTTCTAAAAGTTTCAGTTTCAAAAACACTGTGAGCAAAACCAACTGATGTGGTTATTAGCAAAACAAAAGAGGTCAAAGAGGAAGATGTATTCAAGTTGATCACGCCCATATTTCCCATACTCATCATCACTCTCTACAATGGCCACTGTTTTCCACTTAAACTCTTCCACCAGCTCCAAAATGGCCTTTTTTCTTTTTTTTTTGCAAATCTTCACTGGGAACATTTTGTAAAAAAGTGGTGAACTTGAATTTATTGCTGAGAATCTCGCTGGTTGATGCACAACTAATCTGTAAAAAAAAACCATAAACATGTCAATATGTAAATTTAACAACATATAGTTTTATTGATACATAAGTTAAAATCTCTGTATTATTTTTATGCACCATAGTAAAGACTCAAACATAGAAAAGATCAACCTGGGTAACTAATGTTAGAGGTTGGGTAGCAGGCTTGGGGTGCGTTGGTTTTTGTCTTCAATGTTGTATATCATATCTTCAGTGCACAGGAACATTTGAAAGCTGTAGCTGTAAAGGTTGACAGATTAGATTAGCTCTATCCAGGATTCATGTCCAGTCCCAATCATTTGAATGAGAGTATACTTACCTACTACAAATGAAGTCCTCGGTTGTTTTGTTTCTTTTCAGAATTGAGTGAACAGGAAAAAGTCCTCCAGTAATGATGTCCGCAGGAGAGTATGCATGCAGAACAGTGTTATTTTCTGTTTGAGAGTGAAAAACACTCACAAAGGTTATGAGTAACCTCAGCAGTGACATTGTGCATGCAGTTTGATCAGATGGGTGTGTATTTTGTGTAAGCTGCTTCCCGGACAACATCTTAGTACAAAGTTTAGCCTGATGGACTATGGAACATTTGCATTTGTCAAACAGACACGTTATGACGTTGGCACGCAAACCCCAAAGTGATTTGAATCGCTCACAGAGAAGAATTCATACACCGTCGTGAATGATTCATTATGCATGTCACGATCAGCTGAGGATTTGGTTTGGAAAACAAAGGTCCCTGTGTCTGCTTTTCCAACTAATCATCTAATTTCTCACTGAATTCAGAGCCACAGGATGACTAATCAGTTGTATGTTTGATACACTGATCAGCCATATTAATATGACCTCTGCCTTTGACCAACGAGGACATAAACAAACAAAATGCTTCTTGGATTTTTCCTGAAAACCTCTGCAGAGTTGCATCTATGGGTGGATTTAGCAGGGCTCCAACGTTATGCCAAAAACCCACCCAGACAAACAGCATACTAGACAGAAATGTATTTATCTGAAGCTTTGAGTGTTTCCAATGAATTTCTTCAATTTTCTGAATGCAGACTGTTGTTAAAGTAATTCAACAATAAACTGGATGGATTATAGAGGAAACAAGCTGAAGATGTTTTCATTTTGTCGTATATTTTTAAGGTCATTAAATTTCATGGCCCGCTCATCTAGCCTTCAATAAATTTTTGGCCTATCATAAACATTGCAGATGTTGAATGTTGAACAACATATAAACCAACAAAATTAAATAAGGCAAAAACACATTAAAGCACAATAGAGATGCCATTGTGACGGAAACCAAGAGCTGTGAAGATAATTGTGTTGCTGGTGTGCTACTCTGCAATGTGCACTATGTTTGAAAAAACAACAGGAAGTAATCTGAACTGATTGGCCATATGATAAGATTTATATATAAATAAGAATAACAGGAGTTGTAGCTCTTCTATCCTTCCTATTTTTATTCCTCATTTTGTTATGTTTGTAACTGCAAAGCCAAATCTGTTTGACTTTATTTAAAATAATAATCACTGTGAAGCACAATAATTTATTGACCTTAGAGCGCCATCTCGTGGTTGAATGAAGTGGTGACAGGGTTGTTAGAATGCGTACTGACTTGAATGAAAACAAAATAAAAAGATGAACTTTGGTTTTGCTTTCACTGAAAGCTGCAAGGATGCAACATAATTGTTAATCTGAAGGAAAAACAAAAAATATATATATTTCTCCCCGAATAGAGGCAGCTAGAACATGAATTATTGTTCCTTTAGTGTTATTAAGGCCAAATACTGCCTAATGATTTGTTATATTAACCCCAACACTAAACATAGTTTATTATTTTAGCCATACTCAGCAGTGCTGAATCAAAATGACAAAACAGAAGGTGATAATAAAAGCTCAGCAAAATAAAACTTAAAACACATTAAAGTTCATGTTTTTTCAAGGTATGCTTTAGTTTATTATTGGTATAGAAAATTACACTAAAATTCTTTAATGTTTGGAATAATCCTGCAAACAAACAAAAAAGTCAAGAATCTGCTGCTAATTTATTTAATACAATTATTATATATATATATTATTATTATATATATGCTTTACATGTAAGACAATTGTTTTTAATTGTTTTCTTTATTAAACTAATATATAAAAAGGAAGTAAAACCATGAAAACATAACAGGAACACAAAAGGGAAATATGTTTTACGACAAAAGACAACACAAAAAGACTAATGAAAATGAATAAAAGACAAAAAGTCAAATTTTTCCTCCAGTTTTGAAGGAACTGAATTTCATCAGTGCAACATTTTGCTGCACTTATGATATCAATGAGTCTCAGTGGATTGTGTAAATTACTTTTTCATGCTGATAACTAATGTTCGCTGTTATGTTAAAAAAAGTGACATTATCTTACATGTGAGGGATGCAGATTTAATCTACAATATTTAGGAAGTAAGTATTAAAATATTCTACTATGGTTCTTTTGAGCTCGCTTTGATGCTTACTGTTACCAGGAACAATTTGGACTATGAGTATAATTATTGGCACACAGTCATGTTTTTCTGTTCATAATGCTTCCTGATGTACTCCGAAATGGCATTCTGATTATTAAGCTCTTTCCTGAACACCATAATGTAACACTTGGGAGCCAAATGACAGCCGAGGATGCTGTAAGTGGAAATAAGTATGGCCACACCACTTATGGCTGGTTTATACCTTCCCTCCAATGTGAGAAAAAGTGGGAGGAAAATGATCCATATGGTTAAAAACAGCACCATGCTTATTGTAACCAATAATGCATTTTTGTACAAATCTGGCAACTTTTTGCTTTTGAATGCAAACAGGAAGCAAACAAAGCCCAATAAAGCATTATACGTAACTGTGGCAGCAAAAAACTTTTGAAACTTATGGCTCGTGTCACACTGGTGCAAGATGGTTGTGGATGTCTGCTCCTCAATCGGACACGGTAAGAAAAGAATCAGCCACGTCACCGACACAGCCAACTGGATCCCAGAGATGATTACCACTACAACGACTGGCTGATGGATCCTCTTAATCCAGGACCTAAACCTCACATCAAAGTTGAAACCCATCATAATCTGAAACAAGTTAGCCAAAATACAGGACATACACATGGCAAAACCAAACCCAAAGAGGGGAATCCCTACACAAGTGTTCTTTGTGGGCTTTCCTGGGAAAGTGAAGGTAAGAGAAGCGTTTAACAGAAGAGAAAGGAGCTCCAAGAAACACAAATGACCTCCAACAGCCTTCACAACTGGAGTGTGACAGTTGAGTCTAATCACAATAGCAAACACAATGATTATGATTATTGCAAGGCTTGCAACAATGCTCAAGATGATGGAGACAGGATCTGTCCAGAAGAGATAATCATCAGTTTTTTCCAAACACTTATCTTTGAGTTGAGATGAATATGTCAGTCCTTCACAGCGCACACACTCTGTACCTGCAGTAGATAAAAACAGATTACTTATTATAACATGCACAAACACGCAGAGCAACACAGGCAATTACAAGACTGATCAGAAAACGTGTCTATGATTCCGAGTCATCTCATGCGCTAACAGATCGCATAAGGTGTATGTTCAGCTGACATGCATTTTTTAAAGGAATGCTATACTTTCAATTTAAATATAAAAATATATCCAATAATGTATCTCTCCGTCATTATTATTTGTTTTATTTTCTCAAAATCAATTAATTTATTTTGCTTCATATTATTTTACCTATTTTAATTTACCCAACAAAGTTCAGTCAGGTCCTCTAGAAGGTTTCTTTTTGTTGTTGTTGAAATGTTTCGTCCTTCATCCAAAGGACTTCATCAGTCCGAGGAGCCACAACAAACTCAGCCCCATAACTCACATAGTGGGCCAACTCGTTTGATGATGATAAGATGGTTTCTGGAGTCCGCCCTCACCCCTGTCGACTCATCTGAGGCAGCCATGGCCAAAGTGTTTCAAAACATTAAAGTTCATGCTCAATAATCCAGGTAAAAAATCAAACAAAGTTAAGTCAGGCCCTCTGAATGGTTTCTTTTTTTGTTGAAACATTTTGTCCTTCATCCAAAGGACTTCATCAGACGGGAGCCACATTGATGTTTCTATTAATGTTTTAAACCACTTTGGCTAAGGCTGCCGCAGAAGAGTCGACGGGGAGAGGGCGGACTCCAGAAACCATCTTTCTCACTTACTATGTGAGTAAGCCACTTTTGGGACTGAGTTTGTTGTGGCTCCTCGAACAGATGAAGTCCTTTGGATTAAGGACAAAACGTTTCAACAACAAAAAAAAAAGGACCTGACTTAACTTTGTTGAATATTTTACCTGGAATACTGAGCATGAATTTTTGATGTTTTCATTAGTTTTTTTTTTTCTTTATTTCATATTCTTTTTCCTCAATCACATTTTTACTTCACATGTCAATAAACTATTTATGTGTGTTAAGAATTAGAGATTGCTTGAAAAAAGATGTCTCCAACAAAAATTGAACCAAACAAATTAAGTCAAATGGTGTAATGCACAAAAAAATTCAAGCAAATAATGAAACACTGACCGTTTGAAACATGTCCCTGCTGACATGGAACGCACTCAAAGCAGCATGGTCTACTTGTTATTTGTAACATCTGTCCTGGTGCACATGTTTTGAAGCAGTTGAAAACAGTCACCTGGAAAATAACTATTTAAATTAGCACATATTAACATTTTCTTTTATTTTAATTAATAAATAAAGTAGCATATTCCCATCTCACCTTCCCAGAATTCATCCTTGCACTGAGTTTATCTGGAAGTGAGATGTTTCTGCCTGGCCAGTATTCTCCGATGGGTTCTACTGTCACACCCTGGTTGGATTCTGATTTGTTCCAGTACACAATATCATATCCAAAATTGGGGTCTCCATTGTGGAAGTATACGTTTGTGGTGTTCACAGTTATGCTGGTGTTCTGAATTTCCTTTAAAAGCTGTCGACACAGATTTAAACAGAAGGAAAATTTATTTAAAATCAAGATGTTTTGTTGTACTATAATATTTTAATATTCTCCACAGATGTTGCTTTATTCACACGGGATATTAATGTTAGATTAAGAACACTAATATTTCCACTTGAACCTATTGTCCAACGTCAGAATGAACAAAAAGTAGGTTGAAATGTGTTTTAGTGAGCAGTAAAGTACGAGAAAACTGTGAAGTGTTCAAGTATAGAAGGACTTTTATAAATAACAATATGTAACCAGGTTATTTGACAAATGACACAAACACATTTTTTTTCCGAGAAACGAGAAATATCTAATATTTGTGGAGTTTGCTTTTAATTATCTTAATATGGCATTGAAGATTTCAAGGTCTGATGCAAACTCATGGGAGAGTCTAAACATCTGTCCTCACGTCTTTACAAAATAAAAGACAATTTAATACCATTTTCAACTAAAAAGCTAAACCAAACGCTTATAATTAGTTTTTACGTTAAAGACATACAGAAACAGCTCCGCTTATGTCAGAAAAATATATTATCTTTACTGTACTTGAAAGGCTGTAAAGTCGGTGCGTTCACAGCTCTGGTTGTCACAGTTCAGTAAACGTCTGAGACCCTCGGCGATGACCTGAACGGCCAGATAGATGCTGTAAGATTCATCGTAGTCAACGCATGAAGCCAAGCAGTTTGGGTCCGAACACGTCATGGAGCAGTTACATTTTATTTCCTCCTCAGAGTCATCTGAGCAGCTTGGATACTGATTCATGTGATATTCAAGAAGGTCGTTCGTCCTCCCATTGAACATTGAGCGAACATGCTCTCTAAAACCAGGCACCTCGTTCCTCTTAAAGGTGAATCCAAAAACCTGTCCGATGTTTTCAATTCCTGGAGTCTTAGAGATCTTTAAAGAGGTGGACCACGAATCACTTGCAATCCAGGTTCTGTTCAGGTTATTTGCAATCACTCCCGTCAAGATCGTGTCAACGATGATGTCTGTAGTGAATAAGATGATAGCCTCAGCTACAGAGGTTTCAATTTTTTTTATCAGATTCATTACTTTGTCAGCGGTGTTGGAATTGCGTTCAAGGAAGTCACTAGACAGAATTTCAACGAGAGCTACACAAACATAATTGTTTCTGAAGATGTATTCAAGTTGATCACTTCCACGCTTCCCATACTCATCATCACTCCCCACAATGGCCACTGTTTTCCAGTTAAACTCCTTCACCAGCTCAAAAATGGCTTTTGTTTGAAACTCATCGCTGGGAACAGTTCGGAAGAAAGTGGGGAACTTGAATTTATTGCTGAGAATCGCGCTGGTTGATGCATAGCTAATCTGTAACAAACAAGAACAAATAATGTATAAATATGTATCCATTCTCAAATAAACCTCAAAACAAACAGACAAGACTGAGGTTTTAGTTTTTGAACCTGAGCATCTTAGGAATCAATTTTTCAGTCTTTCACCCTCCTTGGATGACATTAATCTGGCCTCCAGCTCTAATATTAAAAATATTGGTATATTTTTGATTAGGACATGTCTTTTATCCCCCACATTAAAAACGTTACTAGAACTGCCTTCTTCCACCTGCGTAACATCATTAAAATTAGAAACATCTTATATAAAAATGATGCAGACAAACTGGTTCATGCATTTGTCACATCTAGACTGGACTATTGCAATGGCTTGTTATCTGCATGTACAAATACTTCTTTAAAACGTCTTCAGTTGATCCAAAATGCTGCTGCCAGAGTCTTAACTGAAGTTAGTAGGAGAGATATGATCTCTCCAGTTTTAGCTTCCCTCCACTGGCTCCCTGTCAAATAAATTCAGAAAAGAATTCAAAATCTTACCTACAAAGCCCTCAACAACCTAGCTCCATCTTATATTAGATATCTTATTGTTCCATATTTTCCTAACAGAGCACTTTGCTCTCTGATTGCAGGCTTACTTGCGGTTCCTAGAGTTTCCAAAAGCAGAATGGGAGGAAAATCTTTCAGTTATCAGGCTCCTCTCTTGTAGAACCAACTTCCAGTTTTTGTCTGTGAGGCTGACACATTGTCCAGTTTGAAGACTGGGCTTAAGACTTTCATTTTTGATCAATCCTATAGTTAGGGTTGACTTGTTAGACTTCCATTGGCTTAGATTACTGTATAATTTCTATCTTAAAATGTGATTCTTGACCTGCCATTGTGTATCTGTTCTTACCAAACCCAAACTCATGCTTGCTCATTAAGATGAGAGTTCTGCAATGGAGTTAAACTCAAAGCAGTATGCCCCTCAGATAACTAATGTTATTAACTTACTTTTATGTATATGAAGGTTTCTGTTCAGTGCCCTGAGATGACTTCTGTTGTGACTTGGCGCTATATAAATAAACTGAATTGAACTAAATTGAACTAATTGAACTAAATTAAAATTGAATTATTTTCATTGGGAAGCTGGTGCCTATCTCCTGTCACTGTGAAAAAATACAGTACTCCCTGGACCACATAGAAACAAGACTTGATAGAAATAAATAAAACAGACAAGCATTAAAGCTCTCCCTAGGGACAATGTTGAGTTATAAATTATTTTAATATGTAGATTTATTTTAGTCTGTGGGAAAGGGGAGAACATGCAAACTCCATACAGAGAGGCCAGGAGGCAAACTTGCAACCTTCTTGATGTGAGGCAACTGTGTTAACCACTGTTCCCCTAATAAACATAAAGTATATACACATCTAAATGTTTAGTTTTAATAATGATGTTGCACTTTGTCATGTCTCTGTCATGGCTAAAATAGAATGCAGAAAAGACAGACCTGGGTAACTGATGTCAGAGCAAGAATCCTCGCAACAGCTGTGGATACTTCGGAGTACCTCTCACCAATCACCGCCTTTGTTTGAGTTTCAAGTAAAGGCAAATTGATGTGTTCTGGTAGTAGACAGCTCTTGGGGTCTGACTGGTTGTTCATCAGCTGCAGAGTTTCTCTGATAGCAAGACTTACATCTCCACAAGTATCGTAAATATCATATCCCAAAGTGAGGTTGGGTAGCAGGCTTGGAGTCCGTTGGTTTATTTCTTCAATGGCGTATATCATAGCTTGAGTGTGCAGGAATGTTTGGACATTATAGCTGTAAAAATTGACAGACCAGATTAAAATCCAGAAAAGAACAATTCCCACTTGTGTCTGTTGAATCACTTCAATAAGAACAGACTTACTCGCTACAGAAGACGTTTCCAGGGACTTCGTTTACAATGGTTTTCAAGTGGATCGGAATAAGTCCTCCAATTATGATGTCCCCAGGAGAGTATGCATGCAGAACAGCTGAATGAGAGTAAAATAAACTCAGGAAGCTTAGAAGTAACTTCAAGAGTAACATTGTGCACCTGCAATTTAAACAGATAAATGTGCGCTGTATTTTGCTCATGAGTGCGTAACTGGTTTCAGGACATCTTTATATAAAGTTTTACCCTGAACGACAGTCGAATATTTGCATCTTCAGATAGAATCAGTCCGGCAGACATTATGAGGCAAGGTCATTTAAATCACTCACATGAAGGATTCATTCACTGTAAAAATAAATACACATATTATCACTTGCCATCATCACCCAGCTTCAGTGGATAAACAAGTTTGTACAAAGGTCTCTGTGTGCTTGTTTTCTACAGGTATAGGCTCTATCATGCACCTTACACTGAATTATATGAAAGGGAAGCCACATGCAAATTCACAAAAAGAATTCACGACTTTTAGACAAAGCAGACAGACAACGACAAGTACAGGCACAGTATGCACAAAGCAGATGCTGCAGATATTTGACACAAAGATCCGGGGCTTTAAAGCATGGAGAATGTAAAGTTTTATGTTTAATACATGTAGATGAGCCATAACGTTAGGACTACCTTCTGATATAGACCATATTTCTTGTTTACCACCTCTGGCTAACCTGGACAAGAACAAGTAGCTTCCTGGGGATTGGGTTTCAGGGAGAAAAATGTGAAATAGAACTTTAGGACCCTGTGGATTGATTTAACTTCTCATAAAATCCCATCAGATTGGTGCCATGTGCAGAGCCCATTGGATTATGGATGGTGAGTGACCAGTCTCAGGATACCAGGGTGCAGGCTTCCCCATCAGATCGATGCGTTGCAACACAAGACGTTTCTTAACCTGTGAGGGGTCCCAAGACAACAGTGCTGTTTGAGAAAAGGAATGCAAGCGTCCTTAATTTAAAGACTAAATGCAATTAATTTTGTCATAAGAGGCTAAAATCCTCAAGTCTTTTGCACAAATAGTCCTGAGTAATTTAATAATAGAAAATAGATATGGCTATAATTATTATTTTATGATTTATGTGGTTTATATTGGTAAAAATAAATGTCTATTGTTTTGGTTAATTGGGAGCTTAGTGCTCTAATTCCATTCAGAGGTTTAATGCCTAATCCTTTGGAAACATGAAATCCTCACTGCAGCATTCCTAGTCCCTCTGATTAGGTTATTTCAGTTTATATTTGTTTTATTTTTATGCATTTCCTGATCCTGAAATCAAAAAGAAAGCTGAGCTCTCCAGGTTGTTGCTTTTTGGAATTTTCTCCATTTCAACTTCAGATCTGAGAACATTAACTTTTTACACGAACCGCATATTGTACATTTTTTGTTTTATTTATCTTAGTCATAGTGATACAGGGGGTAAAATAGTGACATTGGTCAACGTTTTCTCTGTATATGCTCTAGTTTTTTTTTTTTTTTTTCAATCAATCTTACAATATCTGGCTTATTTTAACACATCTGTAACAATCAGGCCATGCATGCACCACACAAGCACCTTTAGAAGCTGTGCAAATTATAATTATAACTTTTTTATATTTGGCTGTAGCACTGAAGTTCATTTTCTCAACCATCGAACAAGTAGAGCTCTGGAGAGCCTCTCAGGCTTAAATGTGTCCTGATTGGACCCCTGCTCCCCCCGCCTTGTGGGCAGGGGTCATGCAGCGCATAAATAGACTGTGGGAGCAGCAGACACCCTGAGGTGGAGGTCTGTAAAGCAGCAGGAGACATGACTTCATTCATCTGGAAGCTGGTGGTCTTCTTCTTCCTGGCAGTGGGTTCTCTGGGATCCCATCCGCAGGTTCGGTCCCAGCGCCAGCAGACCCTCTCAGTGGGGTCTCATCAGGTCCCTCCTCGGGTCTACGGGGGCTCTGATGACCTTTGGCCCATGGGGCAGAGCTCTTCTGAAGAACACAGTGCAGAGAGGTTGAAGGAGGTCCGACGAGGTGGTTACACAGCACCGGACTTTCAGGAGCGCCTGCACGCACGTTCCAACAGTGGGGCCAGTGAAGGTTGGTTGGATGCTGGTATGTGCACTCACTTCAAGTCTCTCTTTCACATTATCACAGCAAACAATTTGACTTTTATTTACCCATCATGCATCATAGATTCATCCAATTTCACTACAATTAAATGATTATGTCTAAAGAAAACTTACAATATTTTATTTGGTTCATAATGTTGCGTTTGTGGGTCTTTCAAAGCACGTGCTGCTCTTCTTTATTTCTTTGCAAAGCTGGCGGCACACAGTCCTGGTTTCAGGAGTCTCTGCATCAGCAGCAGCCACAGAGAAGCCAGCAGATGTCACCATCTGGATCCTGGCAGCCTGCTGGAGATGCCCCTGACTCAGGTATTAAGACTCAGCCAACAGGAAACCACATCATTACTGGTACATAACAAAAAGTACTTTAACTCTTCACTATAATTTTGTATGAATCTCTGCAGCTTGGTAACGTCTGCTCTCCCTTCTTTGGACTTCCCTTTCATAAGGTTTTTCATTTTTCGTCAGACTGTTGGTGCACTTTTATTCTCAGCTGTTCTTTAACAGTTAATCTAAAATAAATGAAATTTTTAGCATTTTTAAAGCTATAATACTGGTGCATTCTTCACTGAATTGTTGAGGATGAACATATACAATTAAGAAGGTCTTTGCGTGATTTGTTACAAAATAATCTACAATATCCAGTTCAGTCAAAATAAATACACAGTGAAAAGCATGTTCATTGTGGTGGACACTGCCTTATATTTAAATATTGCTAATAATCTCCTCCTAAAAAAGTGTTTTAACTTGATCTTTGATGTAAACATTTAACAACTGAATTTTCTGTTGTAATCATATTAGTTATAATCAAAACTATTGGGAAAAATGATTTTAATATCAAGTAAAAGTATTGCATTGTTAAAGATTTATGTACTGTAGGTTTTCATCAAGAAGCTAGATGAGCAGATTGATACAGATGTTAAAAAGTTGGAATTGGTGCTGGATGAAGACTCGCTAAGAGAAAGAACAAATAAAAATATGCACACAGAATAATCATAAAAATTAATTTACAAGGTGTTGGAGCCACTATTCTTTAAACTCATTTGTTGCGTAAATCGTTGATCTGTTCCTAAAGAAAATGCAGTTTAACAGTAAAAAAAATATTTTACCGTTACTATTTCTCCCTGATCTCTTAACATTGTTTTCACATATACACAGTATATTGTAATAAACAGCTTCTCATATCTTAAATTCAAATAACACTCCGCTCTTACAAATACCCATTAAATTTATTTGCTGTTGGAATTTCCTGTATTTTATTTTTATTTTTAAAGTGACTGCAAAATGTACAAACACATGAACCAGGAACAAGCACATAAATATAAAAACTAAATGTATTTGAAGAAATGGCACATTTTAACGTCCAAGAGTGTAAAGATTTACACCAAACATGACCGAGATCATGATCAAATGTTCTAGTGGAAAACAATATATGCACACAGCTCTTAAAAATAAAAACCTGCATTAAAACTCCATCCGTCTGTTTTACAGCATCAACATCCCACTGTAAAAATCGACCGATTGACCTGGTGTTCATCATCGACAGCTCCCGCAGCGTACGCCCTGCTGAGTTTGAGAAGGCCAAAGAGTTCCTGCAGGACATGGTGGGCAGTTTGGCCATCAGCGCTGATGCCACCCGCGTCGGCCTGGTTAATTATGCCAGCACAGTGAAGATAGAATTTCTGCTCAACACCTATTTTGACAAGTCATCCTTAAAGCAGGCTCTGGCCCGTGTCCAGCCCCTAGCATCAGGCACCATGACAGGCGTGGCCATCAAGACCGCTATGGAGAAAGCCTTCACCAAGGAGGCCGGGGCCCGAGCCTCCTCCATGAACATAGCCAAGGTGGCCATTATAGTGACCGATGGGAGGCCTCAGGACAACGTGGAGGAAGTGTCAGCGGCAGCCCGAGCATCTGGGATTGAGATTTACGCAGTTGGTGTGGACAGAGCTGACATGACGTCCCTTCAGCTGATGGCTAGCCAACCACACGATGACCATGTCTTCTATGTGGAGACCTATGGAGTTATAGAGAAGCTGACTTCCAAATTTAGGGAAACCTTGTGTGGTAAGAATGATGATAGTGGGAGTGCAGATATTCCACTTGAAGTTGGATTTGGTGGTAACGGACTAGACCTAAAAGGCAGACAAGACAGTAATGGTAGGTCAGAGCCATCCTTTTATTACTCCCCTGTGATCATATGGGCAGCACCATACAAGGAATCTTCATTTTAAAGTTACAGATCCTCTTCTTTGGTTTTAAGATCTACAGCAACAATAAATTGGAATCGATTATTGTTGCTCGTGGTGCAAAAACAAAGACGTATTAATGCAGTGAGCATTAAACATGTGAACTAAGTTCCACACTAACCAACTTAAAGATGAAAACACTTGGATCCATTGCTGACAGAGCAAAATGTAGTTCCAAACTTTAAAATGTCTGAGACCTGATATGATGCTGTCTGTGCTTTTCACAGGAGCGTGCTGCTCTTTAACGGCTGCATGCCCTTTGCTTTGCTCAGTTAACTGAGGGCAAGCTTTGCCATTTGGGCTTCTGCAAACTCAGGAAAACATCAACAGATATTTATCATGAGGACAAATGCAACTAAAATGGTTTTAAATGTAAACATTAGAACTGAAAGAAGTTCAATTGAATTTTTAGGATAATTTTATTTTAAAGATTGCTTTACACAAACCTTTGGCTTTATTTATGTTAATAAGAAATAAAATATGTACTATGTTAGGCTTTTATTATATATTTATTTATTCATTCATTCATTTATTTGTTCATTTATTTATTTTTTAATCCATCCAGAGGACCTGATTTAACTTTGCTAGATTTTTTCTGCCTGGATTATTGAGCATGCATCAGTATATTTATTATATAAGCTTGAAAACTTAGAAAATAAGCCTTGCTAAAAAAAATATATATATCAAAAATGGTAGCTAGCTTAATGCTAATAAGGTAACAAATTCAATCAGCTCCTCTGAATTTTTTTAACAACAGCCTTTTTTTTCATAACATCAAACAAAAAAATATTACAAACTTGTTTGTTCACTATTAGGTGCAGAAAATGACAAAAAATAAAGGTGACACATGCATTTAAAACAATTTCTAGTACTTATATTAAGAATTATGGATCTCACCTGACTGCCCTTGCTATATGTTAAATTAATAGGAGTTTTCAACATTTGGAAAGTGTGTATCAGCAACCCCCCCCCCCCCCCCCCAACCAACTTTTCAGCAGATTTTGTGATTACCGTGTTTTTCGGATTATAAGGCGCACCGGATTATAAGGCGCATTAAGCGAAACAAAACAGTCAGATAAAACAAACTTTATTCAACTCATTCACAATAACCACATAAAATTGGTTCGAGGTCAGTAAGCACAACCAGAATTATACATAAGGTGCACCTGATTATAAGGCTCGTTGTCGATATTTAAGAAAATTAAAGTATTTTAAATGCGCCTTATAGTCCCAAAAATACAGTAGATTGTTATTTGACTGCATGTATTTGTTGGAAAGAGTCGTCTGACTGAAATTCAAAACAATCAGACCATTCAAACATTAACATTTCTTCACAAATAGCTAATATGAATTACATAAACTCATTATAAAATCCATTTATTTTGAATCACATATCATATAAACTAACTCGCATGCAGCAGATGAACTAATTACTCACATATTAACCCAAAGGTACAACATAAACTGACTGATTTAACTTGATCTAAGCCAATCAGACAACAAAGTGTGTTTTTTTAGGTTTGGATGTGTGCGCTCTGGGACACAACTGCCAGCATATATGTGTCAACAGTGGCAACTCGTACAACTGCAAATGTCGCCCAGGATACATCCTGAACCCCGACAAGAAAACCTGCTCGCGTAAGTGTGCATTTCTTTTCTGCAAACTGCAACTTGTGCAAGTTAGATATTGTATTTTGGCAGAAATGTCTAAAGAATTGATTTGGAATCGTCCATTGTTTGTTTTCAGGTTCAGACGTTTGTGCCCAGGGACATGACTGCCAGCACATTTGTGTCAGCAGCGGTGACTCGTACGCCTGCAAGTGTCGAACGGGATATGTGCTGAACGCAGACCAGAAAACCTGCTCACGTAAAAACAGATTTTATTTTATTTTTTTCTTCTTGTGTAGACTAAAGCTTGTTTTGGTTTTCACGTAGAAAGTAAAGCTTGTTGTGTGCATGAGTCAATGTGAATAGACAATAAATCAGATTCAAGTAAGAGCAGTACACTGTTCAAAATCAGATTATCTGCTTTGATTATGGATTCAGGAACGACTTCCAACCATTCCTCTTAGAATTTTTGTTCACATAGGTCATCGTCAAGACAAAACAAAATGTTAATGATGTCCTTAGGCGTCACATACTGTTTATAATTTTGTGATTTTTCAGGTTCTGATCCATGTTCCCATGGACATGACTGCCAGCACATTTGTGAAAACAAGGATGGCTCGTATGTCTGCAAGTGTCGAGTGGGATTTATGTTAAACACGGACAAGAAGACATGCTTCCGTAAGACCCACCTGTCTTTATAATGACTTGAAGTGTCATATCTGCAGTTTTTCTTTTAATTCAAGGGTTAAAAAAAGACAAGATATAAGTAACTGTTTCTGTCAAAAGCAGTTATGGTAACTGTCTTCACATAGCTTTGGATTAATTTTTTTTCAGGAACATAATGAGTCTTACCTGTTGAAGTGACATCAAGCGATAGATGATTAAAGCAGATTTAAAAAAAAACTATTTTTTTTAGATAGATTATAGTAATTTGCGGGTACCACTTTACAATAAAGCTCCCCTTATAGATGGCTAATAAATAGTTCATAGATACGTTATTAATCCCTCTATAAACACTTTATAAATCATTAATATTTCTTATTATGCATTAATTAAGGGTGACAGAGACAAAACTGACCAGTTGCCAAATAGTGAGCCAAATCTTTTCACCAATATACTTCATCTAAAGTTGTTATTTACACATTTCAGACTAAGTTACTACCTTGTAAGCACAATACACATTTGTAAACCTATTTTTTCGCATAATATTGTACTTTATCATTGCATTACAAATATATTTAACTAATATTATATCCTAAAAAAATTGGTTTACAAATGCTTATTGTGCTCACAAGGTATAACTTAGCCTGAAATGTTTAATATAACAACTCTAGATGAAATATATTGGTGAACAGATTTGGCTCACAGCTTGGCAAGAAACTGGTCAGTTTTGTCTCTGTCACCCTTAATTAATGTATAATAAACAATTATTAATGATTTATAGAGTGTTTATAAAGGAATTAATAATGTATCTGTTTATTAGCCATCTATAAGGGGAGTCTTATTGTAAAGTGGTATCAATTTGTGCTTAAAGATTTACATCATTTTATTTTTTCTTTGTGCGTTTATTATTATTCAAGTTATAAACTGCAAAGACTATTTCTAGCTTGTTGTAGGGGTTCTAAAGAATTAAAGCCGCCATCACGTAAAAATGGAAAATTACTTCATTGCGTCGCTTTAAATTTGAGTCAATTTTTCTTTTAGGTTCAGACACATGTGCGGAGGGACATGACTGCCAACATATATGTGTCAACAACGGCAACTCATACATCTGCAGATGTCGGGAGGGATTTGTGTTGAATGCAGACCAGAAAACTTGCACAAGTTAGTAAGAACCATTGGTGTAGTAGTGATCTCTATAGTTTACAACAATCACTGTATGTATAAATGTTTAAAGTGTGTTTTAAAGAAGGCTCCGAAAAACGTTGTGGAGCATATTTTAGAACAGAAATAGCAAAAACGACTTGGTGAAGCATTGCAAGGACTTTTAAATGAGGAGCAACTTTACATTTGTTTGGTACATTAGTTTTATTTTATGTAGATTATAATATATTTTATATAAGTGAACCATGAAGATGAGATGGTTTTTGTTTGCAGGCTCAGATGCATGCGCACGGGGGCACGACTGTCAGCACAGTTGTATCAGCACCGGTGGCTCATACCTGTGTAAATGTAAAACAGGATACATTTTGAACGCTGACAAGAAAACATGCTCACGTAAGGACCCTGCTATCCATCATCTGAACGTGTTATCTTTTAGCCTCAAGTCTGATGGAAACCTTTGATAATACGCTGATTTGAACAATGGCATCAGGTGTTGTGGTGTTTTGTTTCAGGGTCAGACGCATGTGCTCAGGGGCATGACTGCCAACACATTTGTGTCAACAATGGGGCTTCATACATCTGCAAGTGCCGGGTGGGATACATGCTTAATGTGGATAAGAAAACATGCTCACGTAAGACCTTTCTCAACTGTTTCAGTAATTTCCCGTTTTCTTACAACTGATCTAAAAGCTGTTGATATGTTTTTATTGTGTGAATGTTTATGAAGCATTCACATCCAGTTTTCTTCCGTAGGTTTTTCAGCATCTTTCTCATTCTACAATTTTTGTGCTATTTCAACAAATCATATGTCAAAATGTTCAGCTCTTTCAGGACAACCCTGTCATGACTTGGTATTGGTGCAACTTTGGCAAGATAATTTTCAGCAGTTTTTTTTTTTTTTTGGTTGCTAATTTCAGCCCTTATTTTTTTTTTTTTTAGATAATTTCCAATTTTTGGTGCTCATTTCTGCTTCTTTCAGTCGCAAACATGTTTTTTTCTGCGTTCTTCTGTCACTGTAAGCTTGTTCTACTTTTTCAGCTAGCTTTTTTTTTTTTTTTTTTTTTAGCATTTTAGCTGTTTTCAGATCATTTCTACTTTCTGTGCTTATTTCTGCTTTTTTCAGCCGACATGTGCTCTTTCTGCTTTCTTCTGCTAATTTAAACTTGTTCAGCGTTTCTTAACTAATTTCAGCTGTTTTCAGATAAATTAAATTTTCATGGTAATTTCTGCTACTTTCAGCCTAATTAACATACTCATACTAATTTCAGCTTTATATGCTCCTTGCAGCTTTTTTCTGCTAGTTTAAGCTTTTTCTGCAATTTCAGCCTTTTTTTTTTTTAGCTGTGTGTACTAATTTTATCTTTTCAGCTAATTCAACATGCTTTTTTAGTTCATTCAGCTGTTCTGGTCCATTCTGTTAGTTTAAGCTTCCTTCTGACTTTTCAGCTAATTTTAGCTAATTTTAGCTTCTTTTTTTTAGCTAATTCCCATTTTGTGTGCTCATTTCTGCTTATTTAAACCTAATTCAGCAAATATGTGTTCTTTCTGATTTCTTCTGCTAATTTAGGCTTTTTCTTAAATTTCAACTATTTCAGCATGTTTAATTTCAGGAAGTTTGTCTGCAATAAACATTCACATTACATTTTTGCAGGAAATGCTGTTTCTCCAGTTGTGCTTTAAATTAGCTCAATATTCATAAAAAAGTTGATGTAAGCAACAGAAAGCTGTGTTTGTGTTGACACAAAATATGTCATTGCCATTTCCTAAAATGTGGGCAATCATGTAATCTCCCTTTTGTTTGGGTGTGTGCATGTATTCGTTTATCTGCCTGTTAAAATATTATCTCAAGTTTTTGTGTCATAGCCGAGAGTCATCTTCATCTTTTACTCCAGCAGATTAATATACACACTAAAAACAGACCGATATTTGTTTTAAACTTTGACATATAAAGAGGCAAACAATTGGTGTTCTTTCAAGAAGTGATAGCTACTTTCAGGGTTTTTTTTTTTTAATTCTGCATAACTTTTAGAGTAAGTAAATAGAGTTAAATGGTCTCCTTCCAGGTTGGGATGCATGTGCTCGGGGACACGACTGCCAGCATATCTGTCTCAATAATGGTGATTCTTACAAGTGCAAGTGTCAAGAAGGATATTTGTTGAATACAGACAGGAAAACATGCTCACGTAAGGATATCCCCCCCCCCACACACACACACACACACACACACAAACACACAACATAAGCATGCTCACACACAGTTTGTATATGTGACTTCTCATTACAGATAATTAAAAAAAAAAAAAAAAGGCTGGCTCAAGATTCTTATAGGGAAGAATTTAGTTAGTTGTTAAAAAACGTGAAATCTACCAGGAAGAATATTGACAATTTCTTTAATATAAGTTTATTAGGAGTGAAATCAATGTGCAGACTTTGTTTAATCCCATTCTGTTTATATTCACTGTAGATGCAAAAGAGCACTGTTTTCATCAGCCTTACACAGTGAAGGACCTTTCTATTCAGAATCACTATAATGGTTTCTGCTTTTTTTGTAGATTTAGATGATAATGTGTACCGTAATTGATAACATGCAACATTTATCTTTGCATTCCTCAGTTGTGGAAAAATGTCCAGCTGACATTGACCAAAGCCTCCAAGTCCATCTGCATAAACTGGTTGTTTGGAATAAACTGACCTCTTGTGCATTAAGTTTTTAATGTGCTTTTGGAAAGTCATTTGTGTTTGAATTAAATTGATGTGAATTTCTATGTTATTATTCCATTTTAAGTCTGGCTTCTGTAAGTAAGCACCAATAACGGATGATTATTTCAATCAAATAAAATATATTAGTTTCACTCCCACCCTCCTGCACAAACAAAATTCTTGGATGTAAATGATTTTTGCTGATTATTGAAATCTAATCTATGTCATTTATTAAAAATAACACCCTTGATTTTGTTTAACACTGCCCTTTGACTCAAATAAGAATATACATATTTTGTTTCTTCTTTCAGATTACCTACCATTTAAATAATAACTGATGTTAAAGATATCTATCGTTAAAAAAAAAAAAAAGAGAAAAATTTTTTGGTTATTATTTTACATTTTCCTGTTTCTTTTTGTTTCAGAGGAATTGAGGAGTGAAATCACACAAGATGCCTGCATGTGTGAAGCTCAAATTTTTTTCCAGAAAAAAGTGCAGACAGCCATTCAGGAGATGAGCAGGAAACATATCCTTTTTTCACATTAAAATGATAAACATGTACCAACGAGGGATGCATTCCACATTATTTTTATGAATAATGAGTTTCAGTATAAGTATAGGAGTGGAATACAGCTGTTAATGCACCTCTATTTATTTTTCTCCTTATTTTTTTTAACATGTGTTAAAATTTTATATTGTGATTGAAATTTAATTTCAATTAAATTTCAATTCAATTTAAATTTAATTTCCCTCTGGGATTAATAAAGTATTTTTGAATTTGAATTGAATTTAATTGAAATATCAGATAAATTATTGATTGACTGCTGCATAATAGTAATAAAAAATAGTAATGTTGTTCTGAATGTTGTCTTTAACAGCATGGCATCTGTTTATTTCCTTGACTCTTTGCTCACTTGATGAACTTTCAGATAAAGTGAATAGAATTGGTGGTAACCTCCTAAAATAAGAGCAGTGATGATGAGCAATTCAACTCTCAACAAGAAGAAGTTAAGATCTGTAAACATTAGCATCTTTCAATGTTAGAATGAAAAATTTCATGGTGTTATATTTTTATGCAACATATTGATGTCACATTTCACAAAAAATGGCATAAATTATTATAAAGCAAAACCACATTGTTTTTATCTTAATGAATTTACTGCAATGAAAGTTAAAAAAAAAACCTTTTTGTTCCACTTTGTAATACAAAGCCTTTGTTCATTCAGCTAATCTTTTATGCAACAAAACATTGTCATTGTTGTCAAGTGGAAAAATTATGGAAAAGACAAACTAAATCTCTATCAAAATGCTTTGCTCTGTCCCACTGGATAACTCATCTGTGTCAGAAAATTTCAGTTTACAACAGGAACTTGTTTTACCTATTTTGTTCACCACAAACAGTTTATTATTTAGCAAGGAGATTAAATGGTTCAGGGACTTAAAGTTCAATTGGAGTGCATCATTTGAAAAAAAAACTAAATTTCAGTCAGCAGTTTGGAGATTATGTTATACATTAATTTATAAAACCTTGGTATTTTTTTCCACACAAAAGCTCCACACATTTTCTTCCATGTTATAGCCATTATCTCCTTGTGTATTGCCTGTTACTGCTTGTGTCAATACTTTTTTGTGTATTTTTATTACAAAATGTAGCTGCACATGAAAATGGATATTATTAAACTTTAAGTTTGAAATACGTGTGTGTTTTTACTCTTAAATGCCGCACCACTTAAAAGGTTAATTAAATTTTCATCAGCATAATTTCATTCTCATTTTATCATTCATAATATTCAAATTAATTTCTAGTAACATTTTTCATGTTAAATACTGTAATCATGAATATTTAACAAAACTACATTTTATAGAAGTGAGGTCCTATAAACCTTGGATCTTGTAACCATCCATCCATCCATTATCTTTACCCGCTTATTCCATTTTGGGTCACGGGGGTCGCCGGTGCCCATGTCCAGCAATCACTGTGCGAGGGGCGGGGACAGGTCGCAAGTCCATCACAGGGACACATAGAGACAAACAAGACAAACAACCATTCACTCTCTCTCACACACACCTAGGGACAATTTAGAGTTAACAATCAGCCTAACATGCATGTTTTTGGTCTGTGGGAGGAAACCGGAGTAGCCGGAGAAAACCCACGAATGTACAGAGAGAACATGCAAACTCCACTCAGGAAGGCCCCTGGACCAGGATTTGAACCGGCAACCTTTTCAATGAGAGGCAGCAGCTCTACCAGTTGCACCACAGTGCTGCTTTTTTATATTTTTTTAATTGTTGGGCTTCTTGATCTGGGACCGGACCTGAGTCCCAATTTCGTACCATAAACATGAAAATGTGAGCTGGTATGACAATAAAATAAAAAAAAAATCCTTGAATCCTTAAAAAAATAAAAGAATAAATGCTTGCATTTTTGAATTACCAAGAAAAACTACAAATACCAGGAGGCATTCACATTCAAGGCTTCCGGTTTACGGTTACTATGGGAGACGGATGTAAATCATATCCTCAGTGTGTCCGAATCTGGCAACGCAAGGAATTCGATATCGCATTTAAACTTATTTTTTTATGTAGTTACCATCATTATTACCTGCAGAGACAGTCAGCATTTAGCATTTTGGGGTCATAAAAGTACAAACGAGTCTACTTTTGTTTTTGGAAGCTAACTAGTTGTAACTATGCTAAGCTAGGCTAACACAAACGGAATGAGGCCCCGTAACGTTTTTTAACCAACGTTAGTTTTGTGTATTTGGTTATATATATTTAATGGACTGTTCTGTTAATTTTTAAGAGTATTGTTATCATTCCGCCATCACTATGTTTATTTATCTCAGCAAGAAGGTGAGCATTTTACGGAACAATATTTATATCCTAAATTAGGCGAGTTGGTAACAACCAGGCTGTTAAATGTTTCGTGTGTCATAGATTGCTATTCCCAACAATATCAATCTGAAATGCGTTTCCTGGAACAAAGACCAAGGTTTCATTGCATGTGGAGGCGATGATGGTCTTCTGACAGTGCTCAAGCTTGAAACTCAGACAGGTAAGGTTTAAAACTGGGAACAGCTTTCAGAGGCTTTATTTTACTTTTAAGGTGCTTTGCTTGTAAAATTATGAAAGCACAGCTTTTTAAACATACATCTCAAAATGATATTTGTAAAGCAGCATCATTTTACCAGCAGTCCTTGTTTACTATACATGCACATTTTGTTTGCAATCGTGTTTTATTGCACCAGAAAAGCATCAAACTGTTCTTTTAAAAACTTATATGTTGATGATTTATTAACTTTAAGGTTCAGTTATGTGTCAGAGTATTTATTGTTTGAGTTGTTACAAAGCAGTTATGGGATTTGTTATGAAAGGAATCTGTCAAAATCTTAATAAGCCTTTTTGACTGAACTTTGTTTCCTCTTTGTCCCAATCCTGTAAAATAAAGTAGTACAGCTCGGCATGTTCTGCTGATCTGCAGTTATTGTGCTACAGATAACCACAATGTAAAACAAATGCAGTAACAAATTAACAGAATCTGAACTGCCTTTCTTTCAGATGATGTGAGACTTAGAGGTCTTGCTGCACCCAGCAGCTTGTCCATGAACCAAACTTTAGACGGACACAGTGGTAAGTTGTAAAATAACACCGTTCACAAACATTACATATCAGCACAAGCAAACACATGTTTTAAAAACCTTGACACTGCCTTCTGTTTTTGCATGGCACAATTATTCTCGTAGAATTCTGCATCTGATTCCACGAACAAATAACAACAGCACACCTATTACAGCCTGGACTCTTCCTGAGCTGGGCACTTCCTGCAGGAAAATCATAACGAAAATCAAATTTCCAAAATAAAAAGGTTTATAAAGTAGCATTTACTTGAACTTCTATGACATTTTAGACTAGATTTTTTAAAAGAAGTCTTGTTTGAATTTTTCATGATTTAACCTCACAGGCACAAACAATCTGGGCAGTCGATTATAGTACAACTGCAACATTTGTGATATAAAAACAAATTTAATATAAAATAGTCTTTTTTTCTTTTTTTTAAGAAAGCAGAGCAAATTTTAAATAGAAAAAATATTTCAGATGCTCAGTGTGCACTTGAAAGAAGAGGAATAAAAGTTAGCCATAGCAAGACAGAGTATGTGTGTGAATGGGAGGGAGACAGGTGGAACAGTGAAGCTACAAGGAGCAGAGGTCATAAAGGTGCAGGACTTCAACTTCACTGTCCAGGATCATGTGGACAGTGGAAAAAAGTTTTCACATTTCAATTTTTAGAAAATTTACATACATTTTAATGCATTTTCTAATATATTGTTATTTAAAATTATTATCTTTTTTGTTTGTTTGTGTTATTGTTTTTGTCTGGTAACGGCGTTTACTGATTTAAACACAAACAGGTTCAGTGCAGGTAGTGACATGGAACGAACAGTATGAGAAGCTGACAACCAGTGACCAGAATGGGCTCATCATTGTTTGGATGCTCTACAAAGGTGTGGACCGAAGCCAAACCAACATTTTTCTTCCTCTCCAAGAACATTGTCTTGTATACTTGTATATCTGTTTCCCCTGAGGTGCATGGTGCGAGGAGATGATCAACAACAGGAACAAGTCAGTGGTGAGAAGCATGAGCTGGAATGCTGATGGTCAAAAGATCTGCATTGTGTATGAAGACGGAGCAGTTATTGTTGGATCCGTTGATGGTATGATTTCTTAAATAAAAACAATCAATCCCATTAGATAAGTAAAAATTATTTCAATTGCTATGCACTGTGAGGAACTGGGTACAAATATGCTCTGTAGGATCATCACCTTCTGCTTGTAGGAAACCGGATTTGGGGAAAGGAGCTGAAGGGAAGTCAGCTTTCTCATGTTGCATGGTCATCAGACAGCAGAATCCTCCTTTTTGGCATGACCAACGGAGAAGTACACATCTACGACAATCAAGGAAACTTTATAGTGAGTTTATGAGCTTAGGTGTAATCGTTATCTTGTTGCACATACTTATAATGGGCTCCTCCTGATTTAAGTGATGCTGTTTTTTTATGAACAGTGAAAATGATGGGTAGCACAACCATGCTAGTGAACAGTGACAGTATGACTTACACTAGTAACAAATGTTTGTTTTAAAAAAGATTTGACCTTTCAGATTTATATCCACTTTGATTTTCTAAATGCATTCACATTAACTAGGACATTGTGTTAACTTGTTGTATGCTGTTGTGTTACAGAAGAAAATGACTATCAGCTGTCTCACCAGTGCAAGTGGACCTATCAGTATATCTGGTATCCACTGGTATGCAGGAGCTGGAGGTTATGTTGAACCAGACTGTCCATGTCTTGCTATCTGTTTTGACAATGGAAGATGTCAAATAATGTGCTATGAGAACGATGAGAGTGAGTCACCAAAAATCAGGCACTTCCTAAAGGTTTTATGTTATAATTTTACTGAAATATTTGCTAACAGTGCCACTCAATACTCCTGCCTTTTTTCTGCAGACCCAGTGTGCATTGATACTTTGATGAATGTGGTCAGTATCCAGTGGAACCACTGTGGCAGTGTGCTAGCAGTGGCTGGTTCCCTCAGAGTCTCTAATATGGAGAAAGAAGTCAATGTTGTGCAATTTTACACGCCATTCGGAAAGGTGAAAATGCTCATTTCTGCATCCTGTTAAGGGGTTGCATTTTTTTTCAGCCAGCGCTATGACTTTGTTCTCAATCTGTCAGAATCAGAAGAAAAGGTTGAATCTTTGTTGTCCATGTTGAGGATTGTAAAGTTCTATGTAAGTCGATTTTCTCAAAGACCACTAAATAATGTGTTGAATAGTCACAAAAAATATATATCCATGATAAAATGTATAGATATACCTTTCATAAATCACACAGCCCAAGTTAAATGGCTTCAAACCACAAATGAAAATTGAAAGATAATGAAAAGAGTGTGATTGCTGTCATCATCATTAATTCTTACTAAAACCGATTATTAGCAGGACAGGTGGTACATTCTGTCAGCTGTATCGTACTGTAGCCGGCAGTCAGCAGTTTATTGTACACTCGTTTCTAACACGCTAACTTTAGCTTAGCTAAAAATAAATTGTAGGAAGATCAGTTGTATGTTCTCACTGTTTCTTTGTTTTTCAGCATCTAAGAACTCTCAAAGTTCCTGGGAAACAGATGTCAGGGATTGCCTGGGAGGGAGGAGGCCTTCGAATCAGCCTGGCTGTGGACTCCTATATCTACTTTGCCAATATAAGACCAGATTATAAGGTAAATGTTAACGCTTGTCACAGACAGTTCATGGAACTTTCTGTATTAAAAATTAGTCCAATAATGTTGATAACTAAATTTATGTTGATGTTCATTAACATTGGGCAGCACGGTGGCACAACTGGTAGAGCTGCTGCCTCTCAGCGAGCAGGTCCCTGGTTCAAATCCTGTTCCTGGGGCCTTTCTGAGTGGAGTTTGCATGTTCTCTCCGTGCATGCGTGGGTTTTCTCCGGGTGCTCCGGTTTCCTCCCACAGACCAAAAACATGCATGTTAGTCTGATTGGTAACTCTAAATTGTCCCTAGGTGTGAGTGAGAGAGTGAATGGTTGTTTGTCTCGTTTGTCTCTATGTGGCCCTGTGATGGACTTGCAACCTGTCCAGGGTGTACCCCGCCCCTCGCACAGTGTTTGCTGGACATGGGCACCGGCGACCCCCGTGACCCAAAATGGAAGAAGCGGGTAAAGAAAATGGATGGATGGATGTTTACAAGATTTGTTTGTGACTAGTGGTCCTTTTGACTACATTTTTCTGTGTTTTTTCAGGATGAATTGATTTATGAAGAATTATTTATGATCACATTGAAAACTCAAATGAAATATAAATGTAGTGTGAGAGAAATCAAATATGTAGCATATGTTTCTCACCCTCTAAGTTCTGTCAGAAGTGGATACAGTTTTAGAGTCAGCAATCATTTCTCCTGGCCACTTAACTTTTATAAGTATTTTATTTAATTCATTTTTTATGTGCTTTAACAGTGGGGCTACTGTTGCAGCACTGTGGTGTATGCGTACACAAAGCCAGAGCGCCAGGAGTACTGCGTAGTATTCTGGAATACCAAAAATAATGAGAAGTTTGTCAAATATGTCAAGAGCTTGATGTCTATCACTACTTCTGGAGACTTCTGCATCCTGGCTAGCAAAGCCGACGAAACCCAGCCTCAGGTAGAAAAAAAGACTTTGCCTATTCTGCTTCATTTTTTAGTATGTTCCTAATTTTTTCTGAGTAAAATTACAAAAATAGGATAAAAAAAAAAAAATGACACCTTATTTGGGTCATTTGTTGTCACACAGAAGGATGCCGAGTCAGAATCTGGAAGTCCTGCAAAAGTACAGTGTTATTCATTTTAACATCTTACATCACAAAAAAAAAAAAAAACTTTTCTTTATACATAATACATATACCGGTATTGACTTTTTGAATAAACTCACTTTACTGTGTTTTTTTTTTAGTATGTCCTGATTTTGTGCAACTCCATTGGAACTCCTCTGGACTCAAAATACATTGACATTGGTGAGTTTTGACTAGAAGTGACACCTGTGTGTCTTGCAACCTGTTGAGAAAATCAACAAGTGTTTTAAATTGTATTGAAATGATCATAGTTGTGATTTGAAACATTGTTCAAGCAGTTAGAACAGAAATAGATTCCAGAAAGCCGACATGTTCTTTTCGCTGAAAGCATAGAATATGTTCGTATCACAAGTATTTAGTATTCTCTTTACATTTTCTGTCACTTTGTCTGTTTAGATCCACTCTTTGTTACCATGACAAAGACTCACGTCATTGCTGCATCCAAAGATGTTTTTTACATGTGGCAGTACAGAGTGGCAAAGAAACTGACAGCACTGGAGATCAACCAAGTCACCAAAACAAAGAAAGCGTGGCGAGAGAGGTGAGTCTTTTCATGCAGATATACAGGTATAACATTTACCATCAGGCAAACTGTTATTTAACACGAAAAGAAGATTACAGAAAGGCTATGTTAGGGTTTCTAGTCCATGTCGTGTGATTACTGGAAAGCCTGTGCACCACAGTGTTTGATTCTGTGAGTCAGTGGGCGAAACCTTTGCTTTACTGGCTCACCATTACAGTGTAAAGTGTTGGTCCTGACAGAGCAATGAAAAGGATTCATTCAGTCATAAAATGCCACTGAGGTTCCAGACAGGTTAGGTGTGATTTAATGTCCTGCCAGGGTTTTCCTCACACCTGGACCACAAGTCACAACCGGAAAATGGACAGCTGTTTTCTGACTTTTTCTCTGCTTCGCTCTCACTTGTTCCCACTTCCTGCTTCTCCAGGTTTTATCACATCGACAGCAATCCTTCTGGGACCAACGACAATGGGACAGATTTCTCCAAAGCCTTCACAGTAAGAAGTATTTTTGTCTCCTGAAGTGCAAAGACTTTTTAAAGACACAAAATGTAAAGGAAACAAACTAATCTGTATTTGATGCAATAAATCATTTTATTTAGAATACTTTAATCACATTGATATGATATACGCTCTAACAAAATGCTGCGCAAAAGAACTTTCCATTGTCGATGTCGTTGTTAAATTAAATAAAACAATTCTTGTATGCAAGCACCACGTTTCTTAAAATTTAATAAGTGATACTAATGAGTATTTTTTTTTTAAAAGAGTTAATCAAAAGGTAATAATCTGTTATGATCCTTTTTGTTTTGTTTGTATTCTAGGGAACTCGAGATCCTATCTGTGGTATTACAGCAACAGATAAAACCCTCATAGTGGTGAGTATCTTTCTGTTTGAAGGAAGAATTAAAATGTAAGCATTTATACCAAGATTAAAGTAAAAGTATCTGTCTTGTGTTGCTGGGATGCTCAACTGGTTGAGCAGGCCTTCCAGGTAAAAAGGCTGACCTGGGTTTGAGTGTTCCTGGATTTTCACTTCCAAGTAAAAGCCACAAGTGCCTAAATAAATCTTTTTTTTTTCCCCTGTTACTTTACAGGCTCGTGAGTCTGGCACCATTCACAAATACAGCCTTCCAAATGCTGCCCTGGTCCAGAAATACTCTTTAAACAACCGAGCCTACTATCTGTCCATGAACTGCAACTCCAGGTTAGCATTGATTGTGTCACAGAATGAGCTCCTCTGATAACCAATAATAAATAATCACATCATTTTCTGTAGTCGTCTGGCCATTATTGACATTGCGGGCGTGCTGACTTTGCTGGACCTGGAAGTTCGTTCCGCTGCAGGTGACAGGACAGGAAACCCGACAGGTGTAGGAGATCCATCCAGGTTTGAGCGCAAAGATGTTTGGGACATGAAGTGGGCAAATGACAATCCTGATTTGTTTGCCATGATGGAGAAAACCAGAATGTACATTTTTAGGGACCTTGACCCCGAGGCAAGTACTCAAAAGTTAAAAAATACATCAGAAAAATAACCTGTACAACTTGCACTATACTGTCTTATAGTCCCAAAGTAAACCCATCCTTATTTTAGTTATTTATTGTATTTTCATAACAGGAACCTATTCAAACTTCTGGATACATCTGCAACTTTGAGGACCTGGAAATCAAATCTGTTTTGCTTGATGAAATCATGAAGGTACATTTTTAGACCAAGAAACTTTTTTAAGTTGCATGAAACTTAACCATAACCAGCTTTTGTTCATTTTAAATATCCATAACTCAAGAACAGGGTGAACATTACATTTGATTTGACTTAATGTTTTACGTATGTTGATTAGTTGGTCACAACTATCTGAAGAATTGCTCATTCATTCCATAAAGAAGCTCTTTACATGCTGTAACCAGAACTGTATGTCATAAAGGTTACAGTGTCTGCTGACTGAGACATTGTTGGCTGTTTTTTTTATTTTTTATTTTAGGATCCAGAGCGACCAAACAAAGACAACCTCATCAACTTTGAAATCCGCTCCCTGAGAGACAGTCGTGCTTTGATTGAAAAAGTTGGCATTGAAGATGCTTCACAATTTATTGAAGATAATCCCCATCCAAGACTCTGGTAAATGTTAAATGTGACACTTATGATTTAGCCTGTGAAGACAGTTTTTTTTTATAGTGTTGGACTTTCCCTATTTAATATCTCCATATTTAGCAGCAGCTCGTGTTGCAAACACAAGCCATTTCCTTTGACCAATAAAAGTCAGTTTTACTGCTGATTAAACATAACTACAAATGTTTTGTAAATCTGATGTAGGGCAAACAACACTAAAGTAAAAATTCAAGTCCAGCTTTCAAATATTGATGAAATTCAGACTAATTAAAAATATTCATTTGAACTCATCAGTAACTGCTGACAAATGCTCGCACTTTCTATCTATAGGAATATGTTGATAAAGGATAATAATAGACTGAGATTTATTTCTTTGTGGTCTCTGGCTGAAATGTAATTTTTTGCAGAATTGCTCCAAAACTACAAACACTCTCTCCAGAGATATATAAAGTAAAAAAAAAAAAAATTCATATAAACCTAAAGCTCCATTCCAGCTTAAATCAAAATACAGTAACTTCATGGGGTATATAGTCCCATCGATGGTAATTGAGCACAATCTGTTTTTTTCTTTACATTCTGAACTTGCCAGGCGTCTGCTGGCTGAGGCCGCCCTCCAGAAACTGGATCTGAAGACAGCTGAGGAGGCCTTTGTCCACTGCAAAGACTACCCAGGCATTTTGTTTGTCAAACGCCTGGGCAACCTTCAGAGCGAGCCCATGAAACAAGCCGAAGTGGCTGCTTACTTTGGCAGTTTTGAGAAAGCTGAAAGCATGTACTCGGCTATGGATCGCAGGTACAAAAAGCCAAATTATCCACTTCACATGGGCTTTTGTTGAGCTCATCAAATCAGGTGTTTATGTGTGGCGTTGTGTGTCTCGGTAGGGACCTCGTCATCAACCTCAAGATCAAGCTGGGAGACTGGTTCAAGGTGGCCAATCTACTCACAAATGGTTCTGGAGCCTGCGATGATGCTCTGCTCCAACAGGCTTACAATGGAGCTGGAGACTACTATGCAGATAGACAGAAGTGGTATTTAATTTGTGTTTGTCTTTCTTTTCTTCCAAAAGTATTTCCATGCTTCCACAAAAACATTATCTACCTATAGTGGACATCTTGTTTTCGTTTGTGTTTTTTCCAAGAAAGTTTCACACTGTGCACTTCCAGACTATGTAGTACTTTTTAACAGTGTAATGCCCACATATTGTCAAACATTTTAAGGATGTTTGCAAATCGACACAAGAAAATTTAAATGATGGCATCTTAAAATCAAAATGTTAAAACTTTGACTATACCATCATTGAACTGCAGAAAAAAAACAGTTGACCAAAGCATTGTACATTACGTTCAAAGCATCGGTTAAAACATAAAAAAAAAAAAAAAACATTAACGTCAATTAAATAGATATACATTAAATCATAAAATTTAACACAATTTTTTTTAAGTTCTAAAACGTCACCATTTAAAAAATATATTGAACATGTTTTTTTTTCCTTTAAAGGGTCGATGCATCACATAATTATCTTAGGGGTCGTAATGAGGAGAAGCTGGCAGAGTGCTACTACATGTTGGAGGACTATGATGGGCTCGAAAAACTGACTGCAGATCTGCCGGAGAATCATACACTTCTACAGGCAAGTCATATTTTCAGCAACAAAATCTTCATTTTTCTTTCGGTCTTCATGTACATCAACATTATTTTTACTTTATTCGGAAATCTGCATTTCCCTTTCTATTGTCCATATTGCAGAAAATAGGACAGATGTTTACTAATGTGGGGATGTGTGAACAGGCTGTGAACGCCTACCTGAAGTGCAGCCAGCCAAAAGCTGCTGTTGACACATGTGTCCATCTGAACCAGGTGAGAGGCAGACAGAAACTTGTGGCGCCAGAGTTTCTAAGTGACACGTCGATCCTGAGAAAGCAGCAGTCAGCCTGGCACCTGCTGGCCTCCCCCATCCCGCGGATGTATAGTTAACTCTGAAGTGTGACCTCAAACTATGGTTTTCATAAAGGAAATTTGTAATCATACTGGTTCCTACTAGCACTCCTGGTGCCTGAGTCCCAGTAAAAGTTGATGCGCTTGTTATTATTAATTGTTGTTTCTCTCAGTGGAACAAAGCAGTGGAACTGGCGAGAACGCACAACATGAAGGAAATTAAATCCCTTCTTTCCAAGTATGCCTCATATCTTCTGGAGAACAATAAAACTCTGGAGGCGGTAGAACTGTATCGGAAAGCCCACCACTTCCTTGATGCAGCTAAACTCATGTTTAAGGTGAGGAAACAACAAAACTTCAGTTTTTCTTTCTAAAGCAACGCAGTCAGAATGAACTGAAACAATTTAGCTGCTTCTGAAAATGATACAAAGCTGCTTTAAAAGTATTCAGAGCTTGTTTTTTATTGTGTTGCAGATCTGACGTTTTCCTCTTTTATTTATGACATTTGCCGTCTAATTAATTTAGGATATATCAAAGAGCTTAAAGATTGTAAAATAATTATTTTACAAGGAAGCCTTTTTGTTTTCCTTCACTAAGTGAAAAGCCTACTTTGAATAAAAAAAATTGTCTTTGAAAAGTATTCTGACCAGAGTTCACTCTGTCTCAGTTTACCCACAGAACATCTGAGTTTGCAGAACTTGAACTTTGGTTTCACTGTTTGTTTCGACTGTGTGTTTTGGAGTGCTTCACATGTGACTACCAGCTCTTTGATATTCTTTTATATTCGATCTGTAAAGGGGGTTGTGGTGTGGAGAACAGTGGTGTGGTCTAATAGTTTTGAGGCTGCAGGTTTGAGCCCAGGTTGTGTCAGGAAAGGTAACCAGTGTAAAACAATTGACAAATCTTTCACATGAGTTTGCTCACTGTGGTGACCCCTGCAGAAGTAAGCAGCCAAAAAAAAAAAAAAAATACCGGTAATAAAAAAAATCTGACATTGGATCCTTAAAATTTTGTAATGATGAAGAAAATGTGGTGAAGTCTGACTGTCTGTGAGTGACCCATTTAAATCCAGATTCATTTTTTTAAATAAATCTTCATCAATACTCCAACCTTTAATGGCTACCTAATGAATATCTGCAGAGAACAGAACTAAAAACATTATTTGTTTTATTAGAAGGTCACAATTTTAATTGCTTTTTTAATTCAGTTTACGGTACTTAAAAAAAAAAAAAAAAAACGTGTTGATTTCTTTGTTTATATTATTTACATTTTTTTTTTGTACATTTAAAATAAGACGGAATTGCAGCTGTTTCTTCTTTTGGTTTTTCCCTCTTCAAAAACGGTTAAATCCTGTCATCTGGACCAGTTGACATGGTAAACCAGTTTGAACCCTGCTGCAGGCCTTGCTGCCCTTCCACTTAGTCTCTTAGACACATAAAACATCTACCTTCCTTCTCTGCATCATGCCAGCCAGCTCCCTACCTTTGCCAGTTGTCCCCACATTTAGAGTTGCCACCTTCAGTCCTACATTCTTCAGTTTCTTCTTCTCCCTCTGTCTCCTGACACATTTCCCTCCTCGTGGTCTTCGACTAACAGCAGCACGATTTCTGTCTGCACCCTGCTGGTCAACAGCGCCAGTCGCGGTTGTTGTTAACTCGGGCCTCGACCGATCTGTTATGGTGTCGCATAGATGAACTTACCCTACTTGTGCCCAAACTGTATTTATGGTGTCTGTTTGCAGATTGCAGATGAGGAGGCGAAGAAAAGGAGCCGACCTCTGAGAGTGAAGAAGCTTTATGTCCTGGCAGCGCAGCTCGTTGAAAACTACCACGAGCAGGTGAAGGCGTCCCAGCAGAGCAAAGTTAATGGGCAGAAGTCAAAGGTAAATTACTGCCACACACCACACAGTTTTAGTGTATAATCAGATTAAAGCCAACGATCTGTTTGTTTAATAAGCTTTTCATCTTTATTTTGCATTATTTATGAGCTATGAAATAAATGATCATAAACTAAAATAGTGAAGGTGTCGTTCATTAAAGTGTGCAACATTTCTTTTGCGCAATTAGGCAACATTTGCGCTTGCTGGCCTTCTAGAAGAAGATGCCACCTCTTCAGATAATCGCATTATTGACAACGCCTGGCGGGGAGCTGAAGCGTATCACTTCTTCCTGCTTGCTCAAAGGCAGCTCTACGCAGGCCACTCGGAGTATGCCATGCGCACAGGTATAACAGCACAATCACTTACCCAGAGTAGTTACTACTGTAACTGGTTCCAATTCAAAACAGCAGCTTTGAAGCATTACAATGATCATGACTTGACAACTGGTGATTAAAAGGTTTGTTACTTTTTAATAACAAAAAAAAGTAAATTAAAATCACATAATTATTATTTTCAATTCTCTCTATACTGTACAACTAATGGGAAACAAATCCGGAGCAAATACAACACCGACTTTGAGTTGATTTTAAGACTCTTCTGCCATCTAGTGGTGGTTAACTGTAATAATGAAAATGCTTTAACATCATCAGTGAGCAAAATCTTTTATTTCAACATAAGTCATCTGATTAAGCTTTTATTAAGCTTATTTTCTGTAAATTTATCAGACTATCTTAAAACTGTGCTGATCTACAAACAGGCACTTGAATGATGACCTAAAAGGTCGACCAGAGACAAAGACATTTAACACAAAGTCCCAAACTAGCAGACGTGTTGACAGTCTGGAGTCATTCAGTTTTAGTCAAACCAGTTAGTTCGAAGCATGAACGTCGATCTGCTGTAAAACTGTTGAGTGGAAAGAAATTTGTTTCCAAAGCTACAGTGAGACTTTGCCCTGTGTTCTCCATCTCACAGCCCTTTACCTGCGTGAATATGAAGACATCATCCCTGCAGTGGAGATCTACTCTGTGCTTGCCCTCTGCTCTGCAATGAGCCGGGCCTTCGGCACGTGCTCGAAGGCGTTCATCAAGCTGGAATCCCTGGAGAGTCTGAGCCCTGAGCAGCAGCAGCTCTACGAAGATCTGGCTCTGGAGATCTTCACCAAGTACCCGCCAAAGGACAGCCGCATGATCGAGGCGGATATCTCATTTTACGGGTGAGAGTCACCACAGAGTCAGAGCTTTATGATCCTTCTTTTTCTTTTTTGAATTCCCTTCAACCAGCTCTGCCTTCCTGTTTCCTTTCAGATCGGAAGGAAAAGTGCCCACGTGCATCGTGACAGGTCTGCCTATCCAGGAGCACCAGTTCTGGATGTGCAGTGTGTGTAAACGCTGCGCTCATGAACAAAAGATCAGTAACTTTAGCTACTGCCCGCTGTGCCACAGTCCTGCAGCGTAATGTGCAAAGTTTCATGTGAAGATTTTAGTTCAGGAAAGTTTTAAACGTGTTCTTTGTTTCATATAAATTATGTTAACATTTTAAGTTGGTCATTTTTAATATGTGTTTTTAAGCAACACAAGTGGATGCATCAAGTCGCAAAATATATGTTCAGCTAGCTTCACTTTGTGTTTTTAATTTAAAACATCTAATTAGCATAAGAAGCTGTAACTACTGTAGTGGGTGGTGGTGAAGGAGAACGAGGGCTGATGCTTTTTCCTCACTTTATTACACTTTTTTGCTTGCGTGTGGCACCAAGTCTGTTTACGGACCAATAACAGGTTAATTAATTAATTTGTGCTTTTATAATTAGATATCAGTCAATAAAATGGAATTTGTCACTTTAAAAGGAACTTTTTGCCATAACAAATGTTACCATTTACACTAAATTTAATAGCATTTAAACTGTCAAATGACCAGGTTGCTTTCTGCCGTCTTTGTTTAAAAAATATATTCTGGCCTACTTTTTTTTTTTTTTTTTTTTACCAAAAACGTTTTATAAGCATAAAAAAATAAAAGTAAGATTTTCAGGAACTCATACATGCAGTTCATTCAGTAAAACATCTGCAGTCACATGTGTGTTGATGAGACATGTTACTACAGTTTATTTACCTCTGCTGTTTTCTGCTAGAAAACTATTATTTTACTCCAAGATATCATCCTTTCTTTTTTTAACTTGCATGAGGGGGTTCAGATTTTCATAAAGAATGTATGCACTTTTACATCAAGTCACTCTGGAGCTACTTTCTGGGTTTTGTTTTAAAACCAGTCGTCCACACATTACTCTAAGTGCGTCATATTGACATAAATGTTTCAATGGGCGTGTCTCAGATCTCTAGTAGCTATTAACTTTTTAAATGTCCAAGAACAGTTTAACTTGCTGGATCATCTCTGAGGCAGCTTCCACAAACCATCTGTGGCACGAGTGCAGTTCACATCCACAGCTTTTTGTATTAAACAAATGTTCTCAAAAATTAGTTTCTCCTGTTTTTAGAGTTTAACAAGCAGTTGCGTAAATCAAAGGGCACACGATTACAAGACGTTACACATAAAATAACACTTGGTGCCTAAAAGAAAAGTCATGTTATTTATCAGAGTGGACACCATAAACAAGATGCAGCACTATGAGCTGGTGGCGCATCGTGCATTAAAGTTTAAACATCTGGAGGAGGTCGAGCAGCGTTTCTGAAGCTGCTCGGGACACAAACATCCCACCTCAGTTTGTGCTGCACTTCACTGCTCCCACATGCTGCATGGAGACAAACCAGACACATGGCTGTTTGAGGTAAGGTTAACTTTTTATTTATACGTTTATTTTACACCTAATGATTGGCAGACACATTAAGAGTAGAAGTATGAGCTGCTTTTTTTTTTTAATTATGTCTTAGAACTATACAAGAACCGCCAGTGCCAAAAGCCTCCATGGGGCTCCAAGTGAAATTTTAATCATAACTTTATCTTGGATTTTTTTTTCCTTTTCTTCTTCTTTCTTTTCTCTGCCCCTGAAGGACATGTCCTTTTTTGAGACATTGCTTAGCCCACTTATTTTTCACTGGTGCTTTGGAAGTTTGGATGTGCACTTTGCATTGCACGGCAGGAAGCTCATATTATGGTGAAACATGGCCACTAGGGAGACCCCAAGGCCAATTTCGTTTCCCTTTCTGCACGTGAAACATAATGTGTGTTTATGTGTTGTCATCATCATTGTATGTTCTCATACAATGGCAAAATGATTTCTACATGATCACACACACACACATCATTCTCATGCAGAAAGGGAAAGAAATTGGTCCGGGGGGGCTAGTGGCCACGGTAGGTCACGTTTCACCAGTAATATGAGCTTCCTGCTGTTTTTTGATTTTATATAATATATATATATATATATATATATATATATATATATATATA